TGGTTGGAGAGACGAAATGAAAGCTCTTTGCAGGTTCCATTCTTTTGCTATCCACTTATCAAATTTGTCTTAATTTCTCTCTTGAAAAAGAAAGTTATATAATAATCATAATCCTTGTGTTTTTGTGAAATTTTATTATATTCGAGATTTTTTATCTCCGTTTTTTCTCCTTTCGGCTTTCACAAGGGCGTTTGCACAGAAGAAGGGCAGGGATAATGTTACATTGGATGATCTTGTACAGCTCCTTACCCCGAAAGGCAGAGGTGAGTTTTATCCGTTTGCTTGTTCGTTACCTGAAAACACGACAAATTTTACTGCTTCCTGCCATGATGATTAAATGATCATGTACATGTTCTTGATTAGACATTATCTGCCAGCTTCTAAAATATTACATTTACTTGTGTATTTTTTGGTGATCTATTAGTAATAATGCTTTCTAATGGGGTCTTGTCGACTTTATCAATGTTTGAGCGTTGGTATTTTGATTCTTATATGATTTTTGGCATCAAAGGAGATTATATAATTGGTGTATTGAGGTTCGAATGACATATTGGTAATGGACAGTTAGAAACTTCTTTCCATGTTTTGATTTTTGGCGAAGATGTAAACCAGAAAAAAGTACTGATTTAATGAAATAATTCGGAGGTTGGAGCCCAATAGATAGTTTCTTGTTGAAACAGAGGTTTTTCATTGTGCTTGGACTAATGAATTTATCGTGCGATTTTTCTTTTCCTTGTTATATGGATTATGCAGCTTCTGTTCCTGATTCAGTGAAGGCCGAGTTGTTGCAGCGAATCAGATCTTTTCTTGCAACAGCTGCTATTTGAAGTTGCAGACTTGCACATCAGGGCAAGTGACCAACTGCTGATCACCATTTGTTTCTCTGCATTATGACGCCAAGTTTGTTTTGACAAATTGTTACCAAGTAGTTGCTTATTATGAATGAAGACATTTCATTTTTTGCTTATTATGAATGAAGGCATGTCGTTTTTTGCTTATTATGAATGAAGACATTTCGTTTTTTGCTTATTATGAATGAAGACATTTCGTTTTCTTCCTTGCCTCTCAGGAGGTCCTTATTCACTAGTTGTTTTTTATTTTGACGATATTCTTCTCCATTTGTTGGCCTGAAAGAAAGATTAGGATCACACTATGAGAGGAGATTGTTACAAGTTAGATGGATAATTGAAAGTCTCTGGGTGTTTATTTTGCATGTATTTTTGAACTCAGTATGCAGTAAATGTAACTAGAGCTAAACATTTTCATTTCTTCTCCTCATCCACCTCCTCCTCCCTTTTTATTTTCATGCGTATATTCTTACTTGGAGCCTCGTCACTTGAGCAATGAACGACCCTTGGCTATTAAAATGGCAACCTAATAGTATCCTTTTCAAGTTCTGTCAATTTCCCATAAATTTCAAGGGGGGAAGGAAGATTGTCCTCTATATATTCTGAAATCTAAACAAATACAAGAACACAAACTACTCGGAACTTAGTTTGGACAGTGAAGTTTGTTTGGACCTTTTTTTTTATTTTTATTATTGGTACCTGTATACATGATTTACTTCTGTTTATTGGGGTTTATCAGTGATAAATTACATATGATCTACCCTTTACTTAGGGTATAATAGATAAACTGGAGTTTTTACTCTTGGTTTGATATATTAACGATAGATTTATCTAATTTATTTTGTTTCGTCTACTTCTTTTTTCCTCACTTTGCTGTCGTTCGATCCGCCTTCCTCCCCTGCAATGACAACGTCGAACGGTCAGATTTCCCCCACGCGAATCTCACCGGTGACGCAGATTCACGAAGATTGATCCTCCTCCTTGCAACTGACTCTTCAACAAGTGAGATCTCATCCCAATTTACTCCCAAACTATTAATTTGATGTAGTGACCTTATGCCATCTTGCACCCATATATACAATAGATGGATGTAGACTCCGGTGTTTTGAACGATTTTATATAATTGAGGGAGCGAAACAAACCTTTTTTAAAAATTAAAAGGGCATGTTGAACTAAACACATAGTTCAGGGGTATTTATGTAATTAATTTCTTTTAAATTAGGGTAATTGGCACTATTAATTTTTAAATTATTTAGTAAGTGACAATTTAGTCTCATTTTTTTTCTTAAATTTTGACGAAAAGATTCTCAAACTCTTAAAATGTTGGCAATTAAAACATTTTCATCTAACTCTGTTAAATTTCTAACAGGTTCTTGCACATGACTATCATGTGCCTCTCTTTTTCGTTGAAAAGATGAAAATACCATAAAATCTCACATAAAAAAGAAAAGGTAAAAAAAACTGAAATCCCAATTTCATAATAACAAACATCTTATTAACGGATTTTGACGAAAAAGTTAAGATTACCAATATTTAAAGAAATTAAAAGTTATTTTGTTAAAATTAAAAAAATAAAGATTAAACTGTAACTTGAAACAATTAAAAGGACCAATAGTGCCCATCACCCTTTAAATGACTATGCTGTTTCCTGTAAGTGGGCTTGATAAACCCTAAGCGGTTGATTTGGCGGCACCGAGGCTTTACAATTACAGGGAAGTGAACACACATTCATTCGCTGCGAGTTGCGACCTCTGAATCTAATCAAAGACCATGCAGTTCTCTCAAGACGACTTCGAGCGCCTTGTGCTCTTCGAGCATACTCGCAAATCCGCCGAAGCTACTTACGCCAAAGACCCTCTCGACGCCGACGTTCGTCTCTCTCTCTCTCTCTCTCTCTCTCTCTATCTATCTATCTATCTATATATATATATATATACACACAAACATGTATGTATGTGTGTGCGTGTATATATATATATATATATATATACTGTCATGATTGTTATTCAAGCTGTTCTTTTTCTGTACGCATCGATTTGATCTTTTTCCCAATAAACCTATTGATTCGATCTTCCTAATAAATTTGCGTTTTTTTTCGCAAATTAATTTATTTTTGGACCCGTTTTTATCAAAATTTCAGCTTCTTAGGGCAAAGTTTTTACCTTTTCTTTTGGCAGAATTTGACGAAATGGGGAGGAGCGTTGCTCGAGTTATCACAATTTCAGAGCGTTGCAGAGTCAAAGACCATGATTAATGGTACAATGTTCTCGTAAATATGTGTGTTATATATAAGGTAAGTGAAATGTGCTGTGACAATTGACTTTTAGTGTTTAAATTATATAGATGCGATTTCGAAGTTGGAGGAAGCTTTGCTTATTAATCCCTTGAAGCATGATGCTTTGTGGTGCTTAGGAAATGCTCATACATCGTATGCATTCCTGACGCCTGATTTCGATGAGGCCAAGCCTTATTTCGATAAAGCGTCGGAGTGTTTTCAAAAGGCGGTCGACGAGGTAGTGTGTCACAAGTTTTCGATTTCAAATGTTTAAAAGTTATTGATTCTAAGAGAAGGTTTGATTGTGGAACTTTTGTTTTTCTTAGGATCCGAGTAATGAGCTCTATCTAAAGTCTTTGGAAGTCACTGTTAAGGTACGATATTTGCTTTCATTTGACCCGAAACGAAGAACTACTAATTTCTTTTAAGGTTGTTATTATGGTTCGTTGGGGGAATAATTGAATTAAGATGTTGGGTTTGCTAGAATTATCCAAAGCTTGATTAAATGCTTGGTGGCATTGTGCTTAGTAGCGTCGTGATACTTGGCATCTGGCTGGCTAATCGTCAGTTAACTAACCAATTATGTGGAATAAAGGATAGAAGAAAACAAATGTGTAAATAGTGAATAAAGGATGACAAATGTGTAAATAGTGAATAAAGGATCTAATTGACCTGACGTGTGTCGAATGGGGTTTGGTAAGAATGGCCTTTCTTTTAGAGAAGAAACCGATTACCTTAGGCTATGAGATGGGTCTAGCTTTTATTACAACCTTGGCATATATGAGCCGCAGTAAGATCTCTGTAGGGAGACTGTTGAAGGTTAAAATAATGCCTTGCAATGAGAACAGTTGTGTATGTCATGTTGCTGAACAGGCTACTCATCTTGTTTAGTGATTTTTTTAATATATGTCTAGTGGATTTATTGGTGTTATTGTCCAATAGTTTTATACCTACAATACAATCTTATAATCCAAGTTTGACTCAACGTTATTGTTACTCATCTTAGGCCCCAGAATTGCACATGGAGATCCATAAGAGTGGACTTGGTCAACAGACTACGGGTGCAGGACCTGAGACTTCCTTTAGTCGTGCAAAGGTATATTCTCTGTTATGTTATTCTGAATGTGCATTTTCTTTATTCCGATATGTTTTCAAGGTTGTTTCAAGTAATTTTCATGTTACTGCCTCTACTTCGATAAAGCTATAGCTTGATTTGACTTGCTTCATTCATTTATTCCCATTTTGTTAGCAAATCATAAGGTCCTCAAGAATTGCAGTGGAGTTTGTAATGATAGGAAGTAATAGTTTTTATGAAGTCACAATTTTTCTTGAGATACGCTTGCGACTTCTGCAGGGTATCACTAGTAGCTGTGATGCGTAGAGTTCTTATAGTTAGACATTATCTTTTATGCGCTCTTGTTGTGTATCTCTCTGTATCAGACATCATTTCCTTTTTTTCCTCATAAGAAGCAGACGAGGCCATTAAATCTAGATGGCTTGACTTAGTCTTGTTAATAATCTGATTGTTAGACCTAAACACTCACATGTTTCTTCTGTCCTTTAGCCTGTTTTGCACCGAAAGATGGTAGAAGCATTACCTCAGAAATAAGATAGTAACACACCCAGTGATATAAAAACATAATCATCTTATTATATTAGAAATTTTGTGGTTCCAACCTTCTTGAGTGTTGTAGATGATTATGTACTCTCACCTTGTGCGTAGTCTAAAGATTCACGGAAGAAAAGGCGGCAGATTCTGATTGATTGAGATTACCTTTTTTTTTATTTAAACATCTCAGAGTTCCAATTCGAAGAAGAGCAGCGATCTCAAGTATGACATATTTGGATGGGTTATCCTTGCTGTTGGAATCATCGCATGGATTGGAATGGCAAAATCCAACATGCCACCACCTCTACCTCGATAAACCCAATTGTAGTATCATTTAAGCAATATTTCCGGTGATATCGTAGGAAGGTTCAAATTTTTGTTCAAAGGCTCTTCAGTCTGCTATGTGGTAAATCGAGTTATCATTCAATTTGTACTCTAAGTACTGTCGAGTATGACTATGGTGCTCTCTTTATATGCTATTTTTTAAGAAAGAACATTTACATTTATTATATTCCGCCTATTACAGATTATTTAAAAGTCTTCATTGGTGTGCTTGCATCGATGGTTAATTGGTTTTAACCTCCTCTTTTCGTTTGTTGCATTGATGCTGCTCGGGGTAGTTTTCTAAACATTATTGAATATTTAGTTCCCATCAGTTTCATTGATGTCGTTCAAGGAAAAGGATGAAACAAGAACTTCCTTCTCCAACATTATCATGCAGCTTTCTATTGGTTCTATTGTAGTATTTTGGGAAACATGCCCCGGTACCAAAATTGAGTATTGTTAAACAAGTTATTCAAGGTTACTTTTGCCTCAAGTAAATTCAAACTCGTAACAATCTACCACTTGAAGAAAACCCGATTGTGGTGATCTATCCATAATCAGCATGAAACTCGGGCAAAACCAGAGCTAGCTGGTTCTTAGGTTCTATCCATGATCTAGGTGAAACTTAGGTAGAATCAGGGCTAATTGGTTCTCCGCAAAATGTGTTGCGGCACAATAATTGACTAGACATCTAGGGATATTGGAAACTAGAATTATGGAAGATCCATGAATTTTGAATCAAGAAGATACTTATTCCTTTGTTCAAATTAGCGAGGGTCATTTTTAGTCCTGTTCATTTTATTGATTTGAGTTTTTAATTTGAGTTAAGTAGTAAATTTATGTGAGAGAAAATATTGTATTAAAAATAGGTCAAATGTTACTCGTGATACCCGATATAGAGTCCAATGGAACATTGATTGCCTCATACTCTTGTCCAACTTTTCTTTTCTTTTATCTGAAATACTTAGTCCAACTTAATCCAACAACGATCAGGCACGGATCTACATACAAATCAGTGGGGGCACGTGCCCCCACTGAACAAAACTTTACCTTTTGCATTTATGAGTTCTTAGAGCGTGCCCCCTAAAAGATGTTTCAAAACTTTTATATAGGTTAAGATCATAGTTGAGTTTTACATTATTAAAATATGAGTTATTATTAAAATATGAGCTTAGTATATGAGTTTATAATTATTTAGATATTCTTTTCCTGTAAGTTAGTTTTTTAGGATGAGTTTTATCTAAGGGTTATAATAATTGGTATCAGAGGATGCTCTTTCTCAGGCTCATGTTGCGGAATGGGCGACTTGGGGAGGAGTGATCTGAAAAAGCCAGAGTGGGCCACCGTGGACGTCGGTATCAGAAGCGTGGTGGTATGTTAGGATCCTAGTTGAATCCCACATTATTAAAGTATGAGCTTAACATGTGAGTTTATAATTATTTGGACACTCTCTCCCTACAAGTTAATTTTTAGAGATGAATTCTACCCAATGTTTATAACAATATACCAGAGCCCAATAAAACTTTTATATATTGTAAACCTGATCTAGTTGGTCTATTATTTGAAACTTTTTTTCGTTGGAATTGAATGAAATCATGCATAGTCATTTTACTCCATTCCATTTTTTGTATTTCTTTTTTCTTTGAAATTTTCCGTTATTTCCAAAACTGCAGCTGCGCAGCACTGCTTCTCATTTTATATTACTCAAGTTTTTATGCTTTGTGACTTCAATTTACTTCTTAGGCATTGTCATTTCCACTATTTTTATATTTTTTTAATTATTTCTTAAGATTATTGGCTTTAATAATTAACAATGACATATTAAAGTTTCTAAAAAAAAATTAACATGTTAAAGTGCATAATTTTTTTATGTGAATAGTATATAATTTGTCTTATTATATTATTGCTTTAGCTTTAAAAGTTTCTCCTTTAATTCGTACCCCATTGAAGTTAAATCCTGGCTCCGCCTCACAGTGATAGTGGTTATCTTGTATTTGCCTAAGAGAGGCCCAATTTAACGATTCGAACGTGATTTTCTGTAAGAGTTTTTAACTATAACATAAAAAGTTAAATATAATTTTTTGAGAGTTTTTAACTGTAATAAAATTATAAATAAAAATTTAAATCAATGAAACTAATGAGGTCTCTAATATTTACTAAGCCCATTTCTATAGATATTGTTTCTTTCAGTCTTCTTATTGGGCTTTCCAAAAAGTTTTCTAGTGAACTGTTATCAGATTGGTTGGAGAAAGACGGATTTTAGATGACCCGTTTGAGGTTGTATAGAGAGACTTGTAGAGGATCTCTCTCGTTAGGATGACCCATTATACTTTTTTTTTTTTTTTTTAAATCACAATAAGATTGTGAAAACTATCAGATAAGTATAATAACAAGACAAAAAGAAAATAACTGGTGCACTTTGCACTATGACAGTTTTAATAGTAATGCCAACAATAGCACCAATTTTTTTGGTACGAAACCTTTACTTTCATTTTTTTTTTTTTTTTTTTGTTTCTTTGCTTCAAGCATTGTGACAATTTGAATGTATAGGTACGATCGTCTTCTTCAGTGTCATGCTCTATGTTTAAAAATATCCTTGCATAATTTTTGTTGCCTATAGTATCTACAGGGCGAGTTTGACAAAGCTTTTGCTTTTTAAATAGCACAATAAGAAGAGTAAAAGATGTTTTCAGTAAATGTTTGGGACTACGTTTTTAAAAGAGCTTAATGGGTCAGAATAAAAAGAGTAAAAGTTTAATGGAGTTCATGATATCTTAATGAATTATGGTATAAGTTTTAAAGTCTAGTTAGAAGTGTTCTTTTCAAAAGATTTATTTTCTGTCTCTGACTTGAAACTCTTTTGGAGGGGCAAAGTTCTTTTACCAGACTGTCTAAATACTACCGGAAGCAGTTTTTGGATTCAAAAAGCCAAAAACAACTCTTGGAAAGCTCGGTCGGTCGTACCCTAGACTATATGCAATATTTGCTTAAGTTATCTTTCAATTTTTAAATAGAAACCGGGAATTTTTTCTAGTGACCACTAGGGCAAAACATCTCATACGTATTCATTGACAAGCTGCTGAATTTTATTGTAATATTAAACTGCTTTGTGTGTTGTGTCAAATTGTTTACCATGGTAACGTTACATGCAAGCTACTACTTTGCACTTGACCAAGTCCGTTTTTCTTCAGAATCGTTTTATTCTGGCTTAAAAAGTTATGTGTTTCTTTTCTAGAGGAATTGGTTGCACATAAGGAGTCAACAATAATTCCTAGTTCTGTTGTGATCTCAATAGAGCATATCTTCTTTATATGATATCTGCCAAAAGTGAGATGAAAATCCTTCTTTGGGAATAAAGCGGCATGGACATATTACTGTTAAAGTTATCACATTAAGGTGCGCTATATATTGTCCCTTTCATTTGGCTCCTGTGTGGTGGGATCCAATTTCTGCCTACTTTCCTCTTTTAGAAAAGAACAATTTCTAAATTAATCCGACTATGAGTGACAATCATTGGCCAACAGAAGTAATGATCCCTTTCATGCTCATATCATTCACTTATTAAGATTTTCAAATATTTGTTATGGATTATACACCCCCAATCTTTTACTAGAGTAATAATATAAAAGAACAGGAAGACATAAGTTCACACAAAAATTCATATCAACATATAATGAGTACAATAAATATTAGACTCCTCATAATACATCCATTGAAATATTGTTTTCAGTGTAGTAATTTATCTCCACAAATCAATATGTATGCTTAAAAAGCCAACCGTAAACGCTCTATTTTTATTATTTAAGTCTCGTTTATTTCACCGATTCGAGTTTAGAATTTGAGTTTCGTTACAATAAAAAGCTCTCAGAAACAGTCACATCTAACTTTTTTACTGCAGTAAAAGCTTTCACATAAAGTCACACATCAATTCGAATTAAAAACTCGAATCAACGAACGAACTTCTTACCCAAAAAGAATGGGGGTCTAGAGCCCTATTGGTTTGGTGAAACTTCAGCTAGAAGATGGCTTAAGGGCCAAACATAGATTGTACGTACGAGGCAGGCGTTTTTTTAAAAAAACAAAAGTAATACAAGTGTTTTTATTATCTTATATTATACGGGAGGTATTGTAATTAATTCCACTTGAGACCCACCACTTACTCTTAATTGGTATGATAGTTGGCAGATTTGTGTTGGACACCTTACCATTAGTGGAAATAAATCTTGTTGGACCAAGATAATGACAATTAAATCCTGTTTTTATACATGCACGGTGGTTTTATGTGTGGATGTTGGGAAGTAATAATACGATAATTTTTAAGCATTCCACTTTGGTTGGCTTTTTCGGTTGTTTTTTCTTGGAGATTCCCCCCAGAAGGATCAGCTAGAAAGAGTTTCTTTTTTCTTCAAACTTTTTTTTTTTTTTCAATTTAAATATTGTCTAATTAGTAAATGCTTTTTTTTTCATGGGTTGAGAGTCTACTTATTGGCGGTCTTTGTCTCGAGATTTGTTTTTAATCAATCCCTTATGGCTCATAGGGCAATTATTTGGTTGCCTCCTCCAATAACTATTAAGCTACACAAGTTGTATTGGGATCTCTATGGATTGTTTAATATTTCCTGTTGGGCATGCTTTCAACAAAGGAAAGTCTCCAACTCCTCCATAATAAATGATAATTAAATTAATAATATTATGTGTGTTAACACTAATAAAAAAATGTCTATGGAGACTTTTACCGGTGGAGAGGTCTCCACGCGTCTTCTTTAGCTTTTTTTTTTAAATTTTTTTATGGATTATTATTATTGGTCATTTAACCCCCTTGTAACATGATACGTAGCTTTCATTATGGTCCCAATTTATTGGATGGCAATGGAAGATAGGAAATGGGAATTGTTGGACAATTGGTTTCAGTTGGATGTTAACATCTTGAGTCTCTATCTAAGATATCATTGAGAAAGAATTTAAGTTTTTAGCATGTTATTCTTTCTACTTTTTTTTTTTTTTTGATCTAATGGATGGTTTGTATTATTGTATACAAGAGGATTATGCTCCTTTTTTGCTGCCTTATTCCACTAATTGCCTGAATTATTTTAAATTTAGAGTGAGAATGACAATACTATTAATAGGTCCCGTTCATTTCACCGATTCGAGTTTTATTATGGTAAAAAGCTCTCAGAAATATTCACGTCTAATTTTTTTGTTACAATAAAAAATACTCACATAAAATCACATTTCAACTCGAATTAAGAACTCAAATCAGCGAATTAAACGGGCCATTAATCCATTAGGGGCTAAAATTGTTAGGGGTCTACTAAACATGACAATGAAATCTAGTGATTTGCAATTGTTGGCTGTTTATCACTTTGCAAATCTAGTGATTTGATTTGTTATGACTTGACATGCATAATTATATTATATTATATTATATATAGGACCACCCTCTTTATATATTGCGTAGGTGTGAGGCTGGGGATATATCTACTTAAATATGATGAGGACAATATCTTTCTTAGTACTCGGTGAATATTGCCAATTTGCCAGAATACGATCTATGAACATCGAGCTCGTCCGTACTGATAGTGCAATATGCGAACGTTAGGGCACACTTTACTTTTATATTGTCACCCCGAATGACTTGTAAAAATCCGTCTCACCATTAAAATTTGGGCTGGCATAAGGGTAACAAGATGGAACTTTAATGGTCCATCTAATGGCCCACTTAGGTTAAAAACCCAAGCCCATATAAAAAGGGGTGTGTGGATGTCAATGGGCCTTTCCAAACTAGATTGGCCCGAGTTTTTTTTTTTTGTTTTTTGCTTTTTTTTTTTTTTTTTTTTTTTTTTTTCTTTTTTTTTTTTTTTTTTTTTTTTGCCTTTTTAGTGCTTATAGTTAGTTGTTATATTGTTGGAATAAAAATGACAAATCTTAGAAGTGAAGGATTGTAAGCTTCCACGTTGAAATCATAGAAGATCAGGAAAGAGATTTGGAATTGGATCACTGTTTGACACGAGTCTGATGAGTCGAGTTCAGAGAGAAAAAGTATATGCAAAGCGCAGGGCAAAAATATTGGTTTTAACCTTTACGCCCAGTCCACTATCACATTGTGGATGTCACCTTAAGATCTTTTCATACATGTGGCAATCAATGGAATATATGAATGAAAAAAGAGAAAACAAAAAAAAAAATGAACGAAAAAAAATATTTTAAGTATTTTTTTCCTTTCCTGTTTTGACGTGACAAAACTTTATATATTTTTGTTACTATCTCACTCGTGCATATGTAAATGACTACTTTTATATTATTCGTACCTAGATATTTATACACTGTTGATTATATGTACGTAAATATTATGGACTCAAATTGCTTTTCTAATTATATTATGACACGTAGTGCGTGTAACAACCATAGTATAGCGCTATTACATGGATATTCTGATCGCAGTACGGTTTAATAATTCTTCCATGTCTACACTTGGCTAATTTTCAAATGCTGTAAATAACAGTGGCCATAACGACAAGAGATATATACTTAATTGGAAAATACCTGAGTTGGCTCACGAGCTGTACTTGAGTTAGGGAGATGATTTATGATTTTTTTTCTACGAGTATTTCACGTATGTTGTACTACATGTGCTATGCTCGTAATTAAACGACACAAATAATAATAATAGCTAGCAGGAAATTATGACCAAAAGAAAACTGAATTGTATGAATATATAGTACCGTAAAATATGTTGATCGGTGTTTGTAGTTTCCTCTCTGTCTCTCTCTCTCTCTCTCTCTCTCTCTCCGCGCGCGCTAATCCTACCTTCTTTCTAATAAGGACGACCATGTTTGCATGAATAGTACTACCGTGAAATATGTTAGTGGTCATTGACTGAGCTCTCTCTCTCTCTCTCTCTACAGAGTACTAAGAACGAATATTTCAATAAAATAAGTGAAACGGCAAAAGGAAAACGTACGTACATTGCGATTTGTGCAAAAATGTACACCGCGCACACACACGTTAAGAGGTATTATTTAAACTTGCTATGGACATATATACTACAAAACGTATTATATGGTTTAGTAGTACACGTGACGAAAATTTACATAAAATATATTTGCGGATGTTTATTGCTTTGCTATATGTATATAGCATCTCTCGGATATGCATAATCTTTTGCTTTTGTAGCATGCAATGCATATATCACTTTTCTATCCAAATATATATTTTGCTCCTTTTGGTTGGTTTACTTGAGAAAAAATAGACGTATAAAGAACGTTGGATTTGAAAAAAAGAACGGTTTCACTTCTATCAATTTTACCTTTTGCAACATATATAAGCAGTGCCATAACGTAAGTTAGTTTTCTACAACTCGTTGATCGTACGACCACAAAAATTATGATTGCTCGGCGTGCCTAAACAAAAACAAAAAATAGACACTGAATCTGAAGCCCATCAATATCGTGAAGTAGGAAATACCATGCGTATTGTATTATATGTACAATACATACACAAATAACAAATTTTCCAACCAGAGAAAGAAACATAACATGAGATCGCGTACGTGGGTTTAACCCTGGTTAGCAAACTAACCACGTGCTTAACCCGATTCGCTTCTGATTTTATATACTATAGATATAGAATATAGAATTTATAAGAAAACAGAACACGAGGGCGTACGTGTGCTAATAACCCTGGTTAGCAAACTAACCACGTGTTGCTTAACCCAACTTCAGTACTAGTTTGCCCACAACAAAATCCTATATATACTAATCACCATTTCTTGCCATTTCTCACGACAGATGTCCATGTTTAGACAATTCCACTAGCTTTTAAAATTTCCTCTACCCAAAAACTCCCCAGTTCACTTCATTCCCTTGTGATAATGAAACCATCAGACCTAAATCTTGTTAACTTAATCTCCCTATTAACAGTCCTAACTTGGTTTGGATTAACCATAATATTATCATACCAAACCTCATGGACTTTCGGTAATACTTTCTCCCTCTCCACGCTTTTCTCACTCCTCTTCTTCTCTTTCAACCACTGGCTAATCCCGGGAGGTTTTGCATGGTCAAACTACCACCATCATGACAAAAAGCTGATCAGCATCCGGGGCCCAATGGGCTGGCCGGTGCTGGGGAACTTACCCGAAATGGCCTCTCGTCTAGCCCACCGAAAGCTGGCCCACTTGGCGTCCAGTCTAGACGCGAAGCGGCTGATGGCGCTCAGCCTCGGCTCCACGCGCGTGGTCATCAGCAGCCACCCGGACACGGCGAAGGAGATCCTCGCCGGATCGTCGTTTTCCGACCGCCCGATCAAGGAATCCGCTCGGTTGCTGATGTTCGAACGGGCAATCGGATTCGCCCCCGCCGGGTTCCACTGGCGGCACCTGCGGAGAATCGCGGCCGTCCACATGTTTTCCCCGAGGTCGGTCGCGGGACTGGAGGGCCTACGGCAGCGCGTGGCTGACGAAATGTTGGCGCGCGTGGGGGTGCAGATGGAGGAGAAAGGGGTGGTGGGATTGAGAGGAATGTTGCAGGAGGGTTCTCTAACCAACATATTAGAGAGTGTTTTTGGCAGTAGCAGTAGTTGTCGTTTTGGTGAGTTAGGGCAAATGGTCAAAGAAGGTTATGAGTTGATTTCTACGTTTAATTTGGAGGATTATTTTCCTCTGGGTTTTATGGACTTTCATGGTGTTAAGAGAAGGTGCCATAAATTAGCCGCTAAGGTTAATACTGTTGTCGGCCAAATAGTGGAAGGGAGAAAAACTAGAGAGAGTCATGAGAATAATAGTAATAATGACTTTCTTAGTGCTTTGCTTTCCTTGCCTAAGGAGGATCAGTTGAGTGATTCCGACATGGTGGCTATACTGTGGGTAAGAGCTATTTTCCCTTCTCTTCTCTTCTCTCTCTTACAAAAACAAAATTATCACACGTGAAAAGGGTTACCATCTGGTTTTTATATAATTGTTTCTGATATAGAAAAGAAAGTGTAACAAGTTCGTAAATGAGAAAAAAATTTTAAGTTTAAGCTTGCAGTGACTGAAATCCAAGGATATATATCACATGCATATGTAGAAGTTTATTCATTATTTTTTTTTATTTTATTTTAAAAAGAGCCTTAATTTTTTGAAATGAGAGATAAAAAGCTATAGATAATTTATAATTAGATATACGTTGCTCTTGAAGTTGCAGGTTGTGTTTTTGATCTTTTGCAGCTTTTAAGCTGTCCACATGCATAGAGTCTTCTTTTCACTTTTTTAGGCATGTTTGACACTTTGTTCACAGTGTGTTGAAGGGCTTCATAGATACTGTACCATAAATTTTTTATCAAAGAAACTTCGGAACAGCCGAAGACCAGTTGACTCATTAGTCAATCTCAGGAGAAAAGAGCGAGTCACAAAGTTCTTGAGATTCTGATGAATCATTATGACATGACTCCATAACCTCCCCTAGGTTCTATAATAGGTTTTTGACCAAAAAAAAAGTTATCAATCATCATTCGTATATATATATATATATATATATATATATATATTGCTAGAATTACCACTCCTAAGCTCCATGCAATATTACTCAAATAGTAAAAAGAGAAAAAATCAATCTCATCCTCACTTAACAGGTTTATTATCCAGTTCAATTATAGGTTTATAATATTAGTTTATGGAATTGCATCAATTAGATCCAGATTAATTTTGATACGAATCTAGGAATTTGATCAGAGTATGGTTCAAATTCAAGCCTAGAATCTTAAATGCATAAAAATTGCATTGTGCTTGCCACGTGATCTCCATCCATCAAATATTTTTCGTGGGAGTACTTTTGAGGTCTTAGACAGGAATTGGTGGGCTCAATTATTTTGATAATACTAGGATTAATATTTGTCTGCGTAATATTTTTATTATGTTGAGGATCCAATTAATTATACGTACAATATCAAGTTTTTTTTTTTTTTTTTTTTTGGTTCATACACTAGTTAACACCTTTACTTTGTTTATATATATTCATTAATTGACACATTCATTTTGATAATATTATATTAAGGAATTGATATTTCGAGGGACAGACACAGTTGCCATACTTCTGGAATGGATTATGGCCAGGATGGTTTTGCACCAAGACATCCAAGCAAAAGTCCAGCAAGAGATTGACACGTTCGTGGGAAACAATAGACACGTGCGAGACTCCAACATTCCCAACCTCCCTTACCTCCAAGCCATAGTCAAGGAAGTCCTCCGACTACACCCTCCAGGCCCATTACTCTCGTGGGCCCGTCTTGCGGTCCACGATGTCCACATAGACAAGGTCTTCATACCTGCCGGCACCACCGCCATGGTCAACATGTGGGCCATAACCCACGATCCCTCTGTATGGAAGGACCCATGGGCCTTCAAGCCCGATAGGTTCATTGAAGAGGAGGTGACCATCATGGGCTCGGATACAAGGCTCGCACCATTTGGGTCGGGCCGAAGGGTGTGCCCAGGAAAGGCGCTGGGCCTAGCCACAGTCCACGTGTGGCTCGCTCGGCTTCTGCATCAGTACACGTGGCTTCCAGCTCAGCCAGTGGATCTCTCAGAGTGCCTGAGGCTTTCTATGGAAATGAAAAAGCCATTGGCGTGCCACGTTGTTCGTCGTTGCAACTTTGCTGCCTCATAAAGAAAGCTATAATATCGCTTTCTTTGTATTTTATCTTATTATCTTTATGTGAAAAAAAAGGAAAAATGTGAGGGCTAAAGAAGTAAAGATCGTACAATATCCTCATAAGAATGTACGTAGGTGGTTTTTCTACACTGTGTGTGGTTTTAGTAAGTTGGTCAAGGCGAGAGAATAAACTCTTACGTCTCGCCCTAAGTATTTTCTATGTAATAAACATGTTATGGTAATTGTATATTATTATTGTTGTTATCCTAAGTTCCCAAGTCATTTTCAATTAAGTAATACTTTACAAAGAAAAAAAAAAGTCGATTCTTTTTTTTTTTTTTTTGGATAATTTTATGGTATAGCACAAAAAAAACATCGTCGTATTACATTGCGTAGTCTTGAATTGCATCAAAAAACGTATAAGAACAAAAATAATAATAAATGAAAATTTAGCATGTACAAACTTGCTCACTTATAAGGAATTATTATTCTAATCATCTTTCTTTTGGAGTTTTAAATTGCTCAAGGAGCGATATACGAGGGAGGTTTCATAGAACTTTTTTTCGATAAGAACTATTGTTTTAATCATTAAATTAAGTTTTCAATAATTTGATACGTGAGTGTTGACGTTAAAATTTTACAGCACACGATATTTAATGCTCTAATAAAAAATTAAGCCGTTAAAAACTAAATGTAACGAGGAAAATAACATTTCTTACCGGCGATAGTTAAAAAAAGGACGTATCTTACCGTAAAAATTCGTCATATATATATATATAATTATATTTAAACATGTATAAAAAACCAAGTACTTGCCTTCCAAAAACAAAAGGGCATGGAAAGATAGCCGCCGGAAGGCACATCTAGTGCAGGCCAGCGTGACCAGCTATAGGCCAAGTTGCCGAAATCTGAAATATGAAATGTCAAAGTGCTCCAAAGACATGGGTCGATATCGGGACAAAGCCGACATGATACATATTAATTATGGTGTTCATGATATTGTTAAAGCAAGACAAAAAGTTTAGCCAAGTTGCTGATCCACGATGCTGCATATTGGATAAAGAACGCCATATCTTTTTGGAAAATAAAATTGAGGCATTACTCATGTTTTTGTGGCCGCCAAGTCACTAGTTCTGCTTTTCTTTAATTAGTACCGAGAGTTTTATAACCAAAAAAAAAAAAAAGACACCACGCATAGCCAATTATTCACTTAAAATAATCTATAATTAGCATGACAGAGATGTTGTAATTAAGGTTTTCTATATTATAATTAACATGACAGCTGATCTTAAATTAAGGAAGGAATTATTAAGGTAGTCCCATTATTCAAATCCATGAGAATTGTAAAAGCAACTGGGCGTTCAACCACTTGTTATACTCTTCAATATATGCACGATCAAGCTCTTCAGGATATCAATCTCTTGCTTAATGCAAAAACCCAGTTGTGTATATATGACCGTCACAACTAAATTGACACATTAATTACTTGCCAAACCATAAAGGAATATGTGATGAAAAAGGTAATAAAATTATAAATGAATGGAAAATAGTTAGAATGAAGATCGCAGAGTTTTCTTATGGTTGGATGGTGTAATATTGAGAAACAATCTAATTCTCTATTTACTGAGGTGGCAATGACATTATTATCAATTTAATTACTAAAACGTCTTTTTAAACAATTAAAATTAGCCTTTTTTTAAGGGAAATATTTTATTGCAAACGAAACGATTACACAAGCACGAGTGATCCCAATTACAGAGGAGATTCCCCCCGAATCAAACACTGAATTCACCAATGAGGACACCATAGTACAGGTGCGAAAAAAAGGTACGGAGACTCAATGGGAAAAGATATGCTCGACACCGCAAAATAGAGCATGACCAAAACTCGTTCAAAGCCATAATCAATCGATGGATTAATCTAGTCGACTGGGATCAACTTGCACGTAGATAGGACATCAACAACACAATAGAGAGAAAACTCTAGCCGGACCAAACAACCCATACCATCAGTAAGTAACTTACCGGGGTCCGTTATTACAATGCAAGGGTGAGCACACGTGGCCTTTATTACAACAAAAAAAAAAAAGCAACAATAAAAAAATTTAGATAACACCACGACAAAAGGAGGGCAACCATTACAACCACCGTTCAACAATGTCCATTCAGCGATCTATACCGTATTCAAAAATCCAACGAGGACTCCATTCTTTACCTGATTTGGCCTCCCAAAATAATGAACAATAATAATTAGCTTCTAATATGAGACATTCTTAAAAGTATATAAGTAAATTTGATATTCATTTTTTAAGTAAATTTGATATTCATTTTTTAATACGTAATAGAGAATTAAGTATTGTATAGTGCAATGATTGATATTTTCTTTTCTCGTTCTTTGCATTGTGCTGGGTCTACTAAATTTTCGTTATTAATTTTACAGTAATCATGTGATTAGATGAGAAAGTCAACCACTTCTTATTATCCATTTCAATTTCAATGGGAAGTAAAAGCATCCTGAGAGTAGAAATTATATACATAGTAAAATGTAAGGGCCCGTTTAGTTCACTGATTCAAATTTTTAATTTGAGTTGAGATATAATTTTATATGAGAGTTTTTTACTGTAGTTAAAAAGTTTAAATGTAACTGTTTCTCATAATTTTTTACTGTATCAAAACTCAAATTCTAAACTCAAATTAGTGAAATGAACAGGACCGTCAAAACGAATGCGGATAAGATTACATCAAAATCGTTTTCCAAGCAGATATGGAGAAGGCAATAGAAAGATTCTTTATGAGCAATGAATTAAAGTAAAACAGCCACAAAGCAATCAGTTTTTTGGCTTGGAATGTCCCACCACCAACCCACGCTTAGGCATTAAGCTATTAACAATATACAACAGGACCATTTTTCAATGATCAAACTGCTGGATGGATGGACCGCAAAAAAAACGCATCACCTTTTATGTCTTTTTGTTTTTGTTTTTCTCTTTACCTAAAGTTGTCCACGTACGTGATCGCAAGTTCATGAAAGATTTCAAAATTGTTTAATGTTTGTTATTTTTGGTCCGGGTATTTAATAAATTTTAAACCTTAATCCAAAAATAACGTTATGTTTTTCTGCTTGTATATCTAATCGTTAGTTTATGCTTTTCGTACGGACTGATGAGATGACGAAAGGGGTGTGGAACATTTCTGGTCATCAGTCACTACCTAGTCAAAAAAACCCAAAAATAAAATAATATTTTTTTAAAAAAAATTAAAAATGCATAATTTCTCTTTTATTTATATTGAGGCTGAAGACCCCGCAATGACCATGTTCAAATCATTACGTTCTAAGATTGTGCAATTTCGTTATAAAAATATATGTAGAATATGCTCTTTTGGACCAACCATGTACCTTAAACTTGTCCATAATGATAAAGATATTTTAAGGCATGCCCTAAAGTTTTGGCTTTTTTAGATCCAAATCTCTCGGTCTCTGCTTTTCTTCTCTCCTCACCTTACACCATCAAAGGCCAGGAAAAAGACCCTTTAACTTTTTGTCTTATTTTTAATAATATATTTTGCTAACATAAGCAAGTTCTTTCAATTAGCGTGTTAATGCTCCACATAGCTCTTGTCTGATTGAATTGGGACCCGCCATTTAAAAGAATTTCTTGAAGTGAAAAATGTGAAGGATGTGTCATCGTACCATTTATCCATCCATGAATTTTAAATTATACAAGAAAGTAGACTGCTTTTACAGCAAATATACGACCACCAATGCTAAGTGTCGCTTTGCTTAATATCAAATGTTAAAGGAAGTGAACCCCTCTCTCTCTCTCTCTCTCCCCCCTTCCTTTTTTTATACGACCGCCAATGCTAAGTGTCGCTTTGCTTAATATCAAATGTTAAAGGAAGTGAACTCCTCTCTGGTGGCTTGTTTACTTATCATGATTGAAGAATACGAATGAGGAATAAGAATTAATTTTATATTTATTTATTCTTTTTTATCCTGGAATAAGAGTGAGATTAGTGGGTCCCATTCAAATTTAGAATTGAGGAATGAGATTGACACTCTCATGCCCCCCTTGGGTTTGAGACTCTCATTCCTAATATTAATATTAATTTACTATCATATCCTTATTTTACTTATAAATACACAATTAAAAATAAAATTCTAAAAATAATAAATGCAACATATATTTATTATTTTATTTGCCTAATGTTATAATATTAGCATAATTATTGTTAACTTTAATATAATAAATATGTACTTTATTTTTTAATAAATTAATAATATATTTTATTTTTTAACACTATTTTTATTTTTATTTATTTTATTTAAATTTATTTAAATTTTATTTTTATATTTTAAATAGTTGTACAATTTATATTTATTATTTTAGTACCCAATTATTACACTAAATATTTTAATTATGATTAATTTTAATATAATAAGTACACAATATATTTTTTAAATTGAGAGTATCAATTTGATTTAAAGGGTATATTAGTACTTTTACACTTTTTTATTCTGATTCTGGGTATAAATAAACGTATGAATGAGATTTTAAATGACTCCGATTCTGAATCCTATCACTAAGTAAACAGTTTTTTCTGATTCTGATTCTTCACTCTGAATCCTACCCATTTTGAATCTTGTCCACTCCGATTTATGCTAATTCCGATTACGCGTAGGTAAACATGCAACAAATGTTCCTTATTCTTCTTTAGAGTGATTCAAGTGTTTGATGAAAGCTTCTTCTAAATTCTAATACTTGTTAAAGGAGAATATTATCTTCCGCAAACTAAAATGAAAATATATTACATACAATTGGTCTCTCGAATACAATGCAAATGCCAAAATTTAACATTTCGCTAAGAAAACTATTGTACAGTGAAAATATTTTTCCTAACGTCAAATTTTACATAGTATTATATTGATATCATATTTACAATTTTGATGGAACGATGATAAATCTAATTTAAAACTAGAAGAATATTTTAGTTAGGTACAAAACATACTCATCTATTGATATTCTGTTGTTCTTAACTGTATAATATTTATCAAGTTTCATTAAGTTTGTGCTTTGTACACAATATAAGTTATGATATTATTCTTTTAAAGTAATCTAAGAGTTTTGAGTTGTGTTGTACTGAAAGTGTTCTTTGAATACTTTTAGTTCTCCTAAAAAATAACTAATCATAGAGTATTAGAGTAATTATGGACAGACAGAGCTGTACTTACCAACAAAAAAAAAAAATCATGGATGGGAGCATTGGCAGAGCCATGTAGTGTTGAGCAGGAACATGCGTCTCCATTTAGATTGTAGAATTTTGAGTTTTTATTTTTTATTTTTTTTATTTGTAGCGTGTTTGTTTCATGGGTTTCAATCAGAATTTAAATTTTTGTAAAAAAAAAAAAAAAAAATACTATGAAATAAAAAGATTTGAATTGTGATTCAAACCTATGAACCTAATGGAATATTAAACTTTCTCAAAGTTTTCAGTTAAATAGAGTATGTTTGTGCCCTACTTCATAACAAAAACTTATAGTTATGTGTCAGTTCAATACAAAATTACCTCTTGAAATTTTTTTACTGGATCTCACCAGAAATTTTTCTTATTTTCCACCCAGTTCGCAAATTTTGCAACCTATACAAAATTAATGTTTTACCTTTTACTCTTAATTGCTTCAATTTGATAGTTCATGAGTATAACGCGTTGATATCACACTTATTCAGGGGTGACATTCTCTGCGGGAAGTTCTTTGCCTTGGGTTTTGGACATTTTTCTAGCGAATCAGACACCAATCTGAAAAATTAATAGCGGGAAGGTATTCCTTTCGCCAAGAGCTTCAATTTGGTACTCGCCTCCCCTGACAACGCTATTTTCAACACCAGTCAACGGCAGTCTAATTTAGTTTTTAAATATTTAATATATTGTCTCATTAATTATATAATAACAAATGAATTTCATTTTAATTTTTAATTTTTAATTACTTAATATAAATTAAATAATCTTCTAATAAAATTATTAAACGTATTTTTAAAAATAATTTATATTTAATGTTTAAAATATTTTTATTTTTATTTTTATATAAAAAATAAAATTATTTTAGAACGGATTTGAAAAGCGCCCATTGTCTTTTTATCCACTTCATTCAGATGTGACGATTTCTGCTGGTGAAATTGGGCAATATGCTAGAATGACTATCCAACAAAATAAAATTAACAAAATGACATTTTCATTTTTTATGAAGAATGACCACCTAATTATTCTTTATAAAAAATAATCATTTTACAAATAAAAATTTTTAAAAAGTTATTTTACTAATAAAACTTTTCTATTTAGTTATTTTGCAAAGCCCTCGAAGTTTCACTTGCTCTTGTTAGCCGGCCCGTGTTTATGTCTCTTGGGCCCATAAATGGGTCTATGACGATTAAAGGATTCCAGCTATAGTCCAATCAAAGCCCAATTCATGTAAAAAATATCCAAATGTAAACGGGTTACGTGGCTGCCTCTGCCTGCATTCAGCGCCGTTTTGTAAAACTGAGACGTTATGCCGTGGCAGTCTGGCAACTAGCATAATAAGATGACAAGATGAATTTATGTTTTTTTATTGTTTTTTTAAGTAATGTTTTTGATTAATTTGATGAGACTTTATCTAGTTTTTTTTTTAAATATTGATATTTTTTTATTTTTTAATTATTACATATGTATCTAAATCTATTTATTTTATATATTTTTAAAATTTAGTATGATTTTAATAAGATTTAACGATTGAAAAAATAAAAAATACTAATACTTTTAATAAGAAAAAAGTATCAGACAAACTCTCTAAGGTCTCATTTAATTCGTAAATTTAAATTAAAAATATGATTTTATATAAATTTTTTTTACTATAGTAACAAAAATTAAATATAACAAAAATTAAATATAATTTTTTATGATAATTTTTAATTATAATAAATTTAAATTAATAAAATGAACGATGTCTCAATACGCGCCGAACCAAAATATTGGCCGGCAATAGTTGTTCCTACTTTTTTAAAGCCTACTTTTGTTTTCGGCCGGAAACTGAACCGGAGTGAATGGGTTGGCAACTCCAATTCATCTCTCATTAGTGATTACAGAGAGTTGAATGTGTTCTTCGTCCCAAGTCCAAGAGTTTAATGGATTGGACTTCGGAGCTTGGGTCAGTTGCTAGATGGCCTGACCCAAATTGTACGCCATACGAGTTCAAATAAATTCATTGTTTCGTTTTTTTATAAATTTTTGTTGAGATGGCATTCTGACCCATGGGTCCGTGGGTACACGCCCCTAATAAAACGGGTATGGAGAATACTATAGATATTTGGTTCACAAATTCAGAATCATTTTTAGTTTACGTATGTTTTTTTTATAGAGAAAACAGTGTAGCGAGCCACTAATAAATAAACATTAGAGTAACCACTTAATCACACCAAAGAATCTCCATTTTTTTCAATGTTGCATGGATTTTTAGAACTCTTAATAGGTAAATAGGTATGATATGAGAATTGCTCCTCCAATGGGGATTTCCTGACCCTAACCCTAACTCTGACCACGTCTTAAATTAGGTGGGTAAGGAGAAAAAAAAATCAAACGAAAAAACAGATTTGAGTTTTTATTTAAAGTTGTTCAGATACAATATTAACAGGGGTATTTTTAATATTATGAAAAGTGTAGTGTTAGTCTATGAATGCATGTCATATGGGACGTTTTAACTTGATTTGCATAACAAAAGGAATGTTGTAGCATTTCTAAAAATGCATGGTGGGACACAACACTTTGTTGAAACTAATAATAATGAAATAAGAAAATAAAAGAAAAGAGAGAAGAATATAGAGATTTGATATTAAGGGTTACTATGAATGAAACTCCATATAAATAGACATTACAACTAAATGATTAGTTAAGTTTCCCAAAATTAAAATCAAGAAATTTTATAATATGAAATGAATACAAATAAAGTCAAAATACTAATAAAGGTAACAATATTTTCTCAAGTAAAAACTCTATATGGAATATTTTTGTAATCAACAATTTTCTAAACCCATCTTTTTCATAGAAACTCTCATTACTTCTTTAAGTTATTCTTTAAATGTTCATTATCAAATATATAGTGTTATAGGCGAAACCTTATGCTTATATAATGACCTTTCTATTATCACCTTTACTATATGACAAAGCATGGAGTGAGCGAATATCCTGAGATGAAGCATTATGGTCGCTTCTAATCTTTACCTCTAAATTCAGACAAAATTTATGAAGCAAACTTATTAAGTCAAAGATTGAAAAAGATTTTAGATACAACTTATAACTTGTAAGCGTCGGTGGTGGACATTAATTTACAAATAAGAGTTTGGATATAAATTACCTTCAATGGGTACAAAAGAAATTTCAATAGCGCCACTCCGTGCTTGAATAGTGTTGTAACTCATTTGTATAATGATATTCTTGATATTTATTTGAGAATTGGAAAACTGAAGAGTTAGTTTTTTTTTTTTTTTTCAAGCTTTTAGTATAGACAAAATATCACCTTTAGTATAAATGGGTTAGTATTTTAATTGAGCTATTAAAATTGTTAGATTTTAGTCCCACTAATGTTTATGGACTTAATAAAATTGAATATTTTAAACAAAATAGTAGACATTTTAAGATTTAAAGTTTTATGAGTAGACATTTATGTAAATAACCCTTTTATTTTCTAAAATCTAATGATTGGTCAAATAAAATGTAGAGATCTGTTACTACTGGTATACTGGTATACTTGCTTAGCAACTGTCTAACAGGGCAATGAGTATCTTTCAAAAATCATTTTCTGATTTACCCAAAGCTTGGTCAACATTAGACATTCCTTATGCACTAATCTATTATATTTTTCAATTGAAATATAAAAGCCTAAATATGAGAAAAATATAGAGGGAGAATCGTATATAAATAAATTAAATAATTCAGTGTAAGATTGATAAGGCATGTGTCCACCACTATTTTTATGAAAATAATTAATAAAAGTTTGTCCACCGTCTAAATATCAAACGAACCAGGGTCAAGTTCATAAATTCAGAAAAATAGAGGAGCATTTGGAAAAAAAATAATAAGCGAAACGTATTTCAATGGCAAAATGACTCGCTTTCCCAAAATTTGATAAAAAGGACGGAAAAATACTTTCTTGACGCGCAGAAGGGCGTCTTCCAAGAAACACACTCATCGAAGCCGTTTAATCTTTCTAATGGAGAGGCGTGTCAATAAAAACCTTGCAAGTAGAGCGACGCGCCAACAGCGACGAGTTTGTGAATATTGGTTCTGATTTCTGAACTCCATAGAAAGAAATTATTCAAAAATATTTGCAGAAACAAATTTCGTATAAAATCTATTTTTTTCCCCTTCTCACCATCTTTTTTTCAGACAAATAATTTTCGTTTTCGATCCCTCCGAGTTTTCCCTCTCTTTTCGCAGCGTTTGGAGGGAAAAAGCACCTCCAAAAACCCAAAACCCAAACTCTCTGCTTTGACTGGTAATGTTTTCGTTTCTTCGAGCTTCGCTTCTGACTTTCCATGGTGTTTTCTCACTCAATTCCTGAACTAATTCACTGTGTGGTTATCTTGACTTCAGCTTTTCTGATACTCCTTTTCCAGAGCTCGATTTTCGGCTCAGGTAAGGGTTTTAGAGTTTCGAGTTTGTTTTCGTTGAGCTTTTGTTGAAGCTTTTCGGCTATGGTGTTCTCGTTATCATGGTCTAGTTTAGGGTTATGGTGAGGAGATTTTGAGAAATTTTTGCTTTTTGAGAAATTTATGGGTTTTGTTGCATTAAACTCTCTTAGTTTCGCGATTAAAGGATGATTTAGTGCTTCAGAATTAAAGTCGTTTTGGTAATTTGTGGATCACTACTATTATTATTATGGCTCCGAATGCTTCTGCTTTTGGTTTTCAAAGATGGTGATTACGGCGTAGGGTTTGGTTTTCTAGGGTTTAAAGTTTGCTACTCGGTGTTTGGTAATTGCGCGAATATTGCTTGTTGCGTAGTCAAATTATTCGAGAACCCTTTTGTTGTTTTGATTAAGCTGGGTATTTGAGTTAATTAGTGGCAATAATGATTTTTAGGTGGAATTTAGTTTATAATGAGATTGCTATATCACGCGTACACTACATTTTCTCTCTTCTTGAAGATTGTTATAGTTTTGGGCATATTTAGACTCTGTAGTTATCAATAGTGGCTAATATGGACTTTATATGTGAGCTTTAAAATTGCTTATGTTAATGTCGGTACTTAGAAAATAACTACTGTTTTTTGATCTCTAGTGCAGTCTTGAACTGCTGCTTGTTAGTCCCTCTGAAGATTAGCGTGTTCTTCTGAAAGAAATGCAAACCAAGAAAAAGGGTTCTGGAAGAGCAGCTGCTCGAGAGAATGCTGGATCAAGGGTTTCGAGGGCTTCGAAGAAAACAACACATGTGAAAGAACCGGAGAAGAAAGTTACTGACCTGATTACATCTTCAGCTAGAAAGCAGAATCTTGGTAGGTTATCAAACAACTCATCTGTGGTAATTTGTATGTGTTCGAGACAGATTAGAGATTGAATAATGTGTACCAAGAGGTTCTATCTTTGTCATTAGCATCAATATTTAAGCTTTATTGACATCCAGTCTTCCATTACTTTTAGTTTGTCCTGCTCCGACATTAGGTCCTTGTAGATGATTTATTTGTTGGTTTTTGAGGCAGTTGTTATGAGAATACACCCTCCAAAGAGAATCTAAAACTCTTACCTTTAAAATCTTTATGTACCATTTAAAATAAAAGTATGCCACTCCTGTTAAGTTACTTTAATTGTTCCCTTACCCATGATATTTTCAGCTGGCACTTTGCTAAAGAAGAACGGGCAACATGCTACAGAGACAAATTTGGATAACAAATGTAACTTGGTGCGTGATGAGATTTCTGATGCCTGTTTGGGTCATGATGGAAATCATGATGATTCCATGGATTATAAGGTAACTGACTTTCAATACCATGAGTATGCAAGTGCAGGCTCACTTATGTGGTGATGTATGTGTTGGAAACCACACTCAGTTCTTGGTGTCTGTTGTGCAACAGTATGACAGAGCTTCTTTATCTATTGCAGGCTTGCAGTGATGAAACGGCTGATCACGTGCTGGAAAATATATTCTCTCCTACCTTTCATATAGCTAAACACGCTGATGGGGAAACAACCACTGAAGGTAGAATAAACTTGGTTTTTTGTGAATTGTGATCATGTAATTGTGTGCTTATTCTTTCCTTTTGTTTTGTTTTGTTAATGTTTTGTTTTATCATATATAGATGGTTGCCATAGATGCATCCCTTGCGATTTGGCATGGGATTAGATGCAAAAATTCTTTGTGATCACTGTATGCTTATGGTAGGTACCCATGATGTCAATCCTTACTGTAATGCAGATGTAGAGGGAGCAACTCTTTCGTCTGAAGTTTCAGCTATATATCTTGCCATGAAAAATTCCAAGTTAGAATGTGTCGATGAACATGGCCAAGATCCTATGTCAACTGATGGTTATGCAGAGGATGGTGACTATGAGGAATTTGATGACTTTGATCCGTATTTGTTCATAAAGAACTTACCTGATTTGTCATCAGTCGTTCCAACTTTTCGGCCCATGTTGCTGCCAAAACAGACACGGAGTTGCCCTCCTACTACTCTCGTTTTGGACTTAGATGGTGAGAACAATGAACTAATTGTTGGCAACATGTGATAATATTCATATTAGCTTCATGTAATTCTAACTAGAGTATTTCGAATGTTTCTGGTTCCCTCGTGAACTGTTGGTTTCACCCGATAGTAAGATTGGCACCAGTATGAGCATATCCATACCTAAATATTGGCATTCTGATGGCTAATTAGTTTAAAGTTCATATTTAATACCAAATCATCTTTTTCTTTTCTAGTATCCCTTCTTTTTGATAGAATTGTCAAATGTTCTTTGTACTTATGTTTGTATCTGGAGTACCATTGATTTTGCAGAAACGCTGGTGCACTCCACACTTGAACCTTGTGATGATGCACACTTCACATTTCCTGTAAATTTTAACCTTCAGGAGCACACAGTCTATGTCCGGTGCCGTCCTCATCTCAGAGATTTCTTGGAGAGAGTTTCGAGTCTCTTTGAGATTATTATATTTACAGCTAGTCAAAGTATTTATGCAGAGCAGCTTCTGAATGTGCTTGACCCAAAAAGGAAGATATTTCGCCATCGTGTTTATCGTGATTCTTGCGTTTTTGTGGAGGGGAATTATCTCAAGGATTTGTCAATTCTCGGTCGTGATTTAGCACGTGTTATCATAATCGACAACTCTCCACAGGTGCCATCCCTCATCCGCACTTTCCTTACACCTAAAAGAATAACGAATAAATTACCATGGAGAGATTTTAAACGTGAAAGCATTTGGTTAATGTTTTTCATTCCGGACCAGTAGTCATAACTGCATGTGGTTGAAGGAAGCTATTTCTTGTTGCTTTTGGTAGTTCCATAGCGATAGTTTTCTTACAATATCAAGCTCTTGTAGCATCGTTGGTTGTAGTGGATGTCCTGTTGCTTTTCTATACTGTTTGATAAGGTGTAATGGGACTTGTAAGAACCTATTCTTTTTCTCTGAAAATTCATAAGTTAGATGATGGTGCAACTTTGTTGTTTTGTCTCTGATGAGAAACAATGCAAACTTAAAAAAAAAAAAATCTTGGTCTATGTTTTAGAGAAATAAAATTGGTTTCCTTTGACGAAAATGTTTAAATATCCAGAAAAATTTTAATTATCAGAACTGTAGAAATTTAACAAATGGGTCTTTCTTTCAGGCGTTTGGATTCCAGGTGGACAATGGAATACCAATTGAAAGCTGGTTTGACAATCCTTCAGATAGAGAATTGCTTTTATTGCTTCCATTTTTGGAGAGCTTGGTTGGAGTTGAAGATGTTCGACCACTTATCGCGAGGAAGTTCAACCTCCAGAAGAGAATATCTGCTGCTGTTTATCCTCTAAATTCATTCAATTAGAGCTGATCCTTTCTAAAGCTAAACTTTCTATGTGAAAGACCAGTTTAGAGCCAGATGTCTGGGGTTTCCCCTGTACTTTAGACATTTACTTTTGGGGGCTCCACTTTGTTGTGAAATTATGCTGTTTCAACTGAAGAATAGGAAGGAAGACTGAGTTAGGATCAAAGGGTATTTACCATTTGTCAGCAACTGGTACTTCCCATACAAGGAAGATGCATAAGCGCTTGCGTCTTTGATAGTTGATCAATTAGAAATAAAACCCAAATAATTTAAAGGATTGTTTGCATCATATTCATACCATTTGTTGCAAGTGATGAAATTATTCCTTTGCTCAAGCTAGATTTTTAATTTTATTTTTATTTTTTTCAAAGTTTTGTGCTTATGGATCGCACACAAGACTTATTTTTAATTGTAGGATCGCATACTATACTAGAGTAGTTTACAAGGTGGGCGCACAAATGTCAAGTAATAACAAGACCACGTAATCTTTTTTCATTTTTGAATATTTGCAAAGAACACCAAGCTCTAATGTGGGCCGATTTTATTTTGAGACAATAAACTTGTGCATGTTCAGAAAGCGTGTGAATTATGGTTTCAATTGGTTTTTAGGTTTAAATGGTGTGAGAAAACACTGCAGAAGAAAAGTCTGAATTGTGTTTTAAAACGCTACTTAAAGCTTTTTTTACAAATAAAAGTTGTTTTGCTTGTAATTAGACAATTTAAGCTTAGTAAAGGATATGTTTTGCGGTCTCTTTCCAATTTTTTCCTATTAAAAAGTTAGTTGGAGATGTAAATCTTTGATTAACGACGGCAAATTAACAGTCATTAAAATAAAATACTAATAAAAAAACGATGCCAAATTAACCGAGCAGAAGGAACCCACAACTTACTCGAAAAAAAAGAAAAGAAAATGAAAATAAAAGAAGCCTGCATCACGTGATGCCGTTGAGAGTGGTGGGTCCCCGAGTATAACAGAAACGAGCTTGGCTTGGCTTCCATTGCCTGAGATTATTCCTTACTCTTCCATTGCAATTTGAACCAAAACCAAAATGTTCCTACTTTTCAGTTAAATTACGAGAATGCCATCTAGAGGCTAGCGAAGCGTCTCTCCCAAGCTGCTCTATTTAACCGCGGTCTATAAATATCCTCAACACTTCCTCTCCCGCCATATTCCTCATTTGTTTCCTTCGTTTCGAGTTTTTGAAAAACAAACTTTCAGAGCGCCCTCTCTCTCTCTCTCTCTAAAATTCTCTGAGATTCCTGAAACAATGGTGAGCAACCGACGCTCTCCGATTGATCCTTGCTACTTCATCGTCGCCGTAGTCGTCTTCTGCACTTTCCGATCGCTCATTTCTTCCTTGATTTCTCATTGATGTTATTGCTTTCTTCAGGTCGTCGCACAGAAGGTGAAGGAAGCAGAAATCACCGAGCAAGACTCGCTTCTTCTGGTTATTGACTTTCACTCACTCTTTTCTTTCTATTTGGTCGCTTTTCGTGAAAATTTGATCCGTTTCGTGTTGTTTTCAATTCTCATTTGGAATTTCTCGGAACTATTACCACATGAATTGCGCGAAAAAGTTTGAATCCGAAGATCTGTACCTTTTATTCAATTTTGAAATGGATCTAGCTTGATTTGAAGTAGAAACGTTGTCGGAAACGTTTTTAGATTTGATCAGCTACGAGATTTTGTGAAATTCGAATTTGAGCTTTTAATGAAATATTTCGGTTTGCTGCTAATATAAGCGTAACTTCTAAACTTGATAAATTAAGGCTTTCACGGAATAGTTTGATGATTTCCTGGAATTCAAGCTTACTGTTGGCTTTCATGAAGGTTTGCTCTGTTCCATAACATTTAGAGAGTTGTGGCCTTTGCCGATCGCAATGCATCATGTAATTTTTGTTTAGAGACGGCTAAAATTTTCATGTGCACCGTCGCATCTGTAGATCTTTAAATTTTTTCTAGTTTCTAGTAATCAATCACTTGTAAAGTATATTGACTATGGCTATCTTATTTAACTTGCTCTGAGTTTAGACGAGGAACCTGCTTCGAATCGCTATATTCAACATCAGCTACATCAGAGGCCTTTTTCCGGAGAAGTATTTCAATGATAAATCCGTTACTGCTTTAGGTAGGATTATTTTTAATTTGACATTTCCTTCTAGTTTTTGTCATTGTTTAGGAATCAGGAGCTTATTCTCTTTGAACTCAAAATTGTCAACAGATATGAAGATTAAGAAGCTTATGCCAATGGATGCAGAGTCTCGTAGACTTATTGATTGGATGGAGAAAGGTTCAAAGCATCGAGCCAATTTCAATTTTGATTAGATCGTAGTTTGTAATATATATTATGTCGTATGTTTTCATATATGCATTACGTTTATTTTGCAGGTGTCTACGATGCATTACAGAAGAAGTATCTGAAGACGCTCTTGTTCTGCGTCTGTGAAGCAGTTGATGGACCAATGATTGAGGAATATGCATGTAAGTTTTTTTCAAAAACTCTCTCATTCTTGCTTCCTTTGCGCATGAGACTAGATGCTAATACTAATGTAAATGCCGTCAGGTTCGTAGGACGGACGAACTTACTTTTAATAGTTGAAGTTCCATGGATTATTAAGTAGCCAGTCATGGCAATATACTTTAGTCAAAGAACTGTTTCTTTGATAAATGCTAGTTAGACACAGTAAAACCATGTTTTTTTAAGGTCATTTCAGAGAGTTGATCTATTTGGATGTGCTTCGCCTGCAGTTTCTTTCAATTACTCAGGATCTGACAGCCAGGAGGTCATGATGAATATCAACCGTAGTGGAAACAAGAAACAAGGTGGAACATTCAAGTGCAGCTCTACAGAAGAAATCACTCCCAACCAGATGAGGTTAATTCGATTCCTAAGTTGTATGATATTTTGTTCTCATTCTGTTCCTGTTTGGCTCCGATCTCTAATTTCGTTGAGGAACGTTGATTATTAGGAGCGCTGCTTGTAAGATGGTCCGGACTCTGGTTCAGCTCATGAGAACTCTGGATAAGATGCCTGAAGAAGTAAGTTTGAAATATGCTCTAAGTATTTATTGATACTGTTAGATTTCAGAAGAAGTTGGGAATTTCACTCACTATGTGAATGCTCCGCAAAGTGTCGTCTATATTGGTATTTTAGCAATTTCACATGCTTGCTCATCCATAATTTTTGTTGCTGTTTCAGAGAACCATACTTATGAAATTACTCTACTATGATGATGTGACAGTACGTTCTTCCCCATTTACCTTTTTAGACAGCTACAAAGAAAGGAGAAAGGCTTATAACAGTTATTTGATGATGCAGCCAGCGGATTACGAGCCACCATTTTTCAGAGGCTGCACAGAGGAGGAAGCTCACAATGCATGGACCAAAAATCCTTTGAAAATGGAGGTTGGGCATGTAAATAGCAAGCATTTTGTGTTGGCACTTAAGGTAAGGATTGGGACCACTTAGGAATCTATTGAAACCAAATCTGTGGTGCATACTACATAATCAAGATTAAGCTGTATGTTTTCAACTTTTCATTCAGGTGAAAAGTGTGCTTGATCCTTGTGAGGATGAAAATGAAGATATTCAGGATGATGAAGAAGAAGGGAGCGTAGAAGGAGATTCTGCACAAAGGGCTGATTATTCTGACTCAGACAGTGAGGTGAACTATTGATTTACTTGACTCTTCAGTTGTATGTTTTTGTGTGAAATTGAATTATACAAACTTGATGACACTTGTTTGACTTTCAGTTTAACCATTCACAAGAGGATCGATATATAGTTGCTCCAGTAGGTACGTATTACATGAAACACCTTCTTTTCTCTGTGGGGATTATTGCTTCTTTTTTATTTTTTATTTTTTGAAAAAGCGTTACTGCATTTTCCCATTCATATATTTTACAAATTGTTGCTAAAAGTAACAAGAGTTTTATGGACAGATACGCGCCGGCAGCAAGATGATGCCGCAGTTGAGGAAGGTATTTGAACAACTTACAAAAGCTCAAGTTTGCATAGAAAGTCTTTTAAGCATAATGAGCTTATTGTTGAACTTGAATATTGAGCTTATTGTTGAGTTTTTTTTAACATCTTATTTTTACCCTTTATTCTCTGATTTTTATTTCTGGAGATGGCTTTCCTAGGATATTAACCGATTAACTTGTCTGATATTGTTTCATGACGACGTCAGGTCATTGTTCAAATGACTTTATTCTCTGTTGCGCAGATGATACGCAGGACCCCATGGAAGATGAGCAACAATTGACCCGAGTCACGGACTGGATAAGTTGCCGTCACCTCGACACTGTTGAACTTACTGATGTTCTATCAAATTTTCCAGACATCTCAATGGTAAAGTTACGACTGTTTTATTTGTCTTTTGAACAAGCGGTTGAAAAATATAGTTAGTGCTACACGCGAGCTGATTGCATAATAAATTCCAGCAGTTTCTTATCTTTATTTCTCATTTTACTGTCTGTTAACGCTCTTCTGCATTGTCGTTTGCAGGCTCTGACTGAAGGTAAGTAAACCTAAAATCTATACTCGTGTCTGGTTGTTCTTTTCTGGAGAGATTTTTATGATTTTCTGGTTTAAACTTATTTTATTTCAGAAATTATGGATAAGCTTGTTAAAGAAGGTGTCCTATCAAAAACAGGAGCTGACACTTATGTGATCAACAAGCAGAAGGTTGCTCAATTTTATTTCACTTTTTTTTTTCAAATTTGACCTGTGTAGCTTCTTAGCTCATTCTCCTCTTTCTTTCGGCAGCAACAGAGTCAGGCAACTGATTTTGAGTTCAATTTGGTGAAAAAAGAAATCGATGATCAAGCTGGTGATAAAGCTTTGCTCGATGATGATTTTATGTACATGAAGGTGATTACAGTTCCTGTCTTTATGTTTGTATTCATCTGAAGTTCAACACTCATAATACCCATATAAAAGTTCAGGATCTTATCATTATAATCATTTGTGCTGTGGTCATTGGCCTATAATCCAGTTGTTTGTATTACCTACTTTCTTTATGTGGTCTACAAAGCAGGATCTTAAGATGTGTATATTAGCTATTAATTGACGGTAATAAATTTTTTTACTATTTTTGCTCATCATATCATGGGTTCTTTCGTATAGACGTCTTGTGCTTGTGTTTTTCTTCCTTTTCTTGTTGTCAGACCAGTTATTGAATATGTTTTATAACATTATCTTTACTCCATTATCCAATTACAGGCTCTGTATTATGCTCTTCCGATGAATTATGTGACGATTGCGAAACTTCAAAACAAGATTGAAGAACCAGTGAATCAGAATACCGTTCGGAAGATGATTGATAAAATGACTCGGGAAGGTTTTGTTGAAGCAAAAAGCAACAGAAGGCTGGGTACGCATACTTGCAGCTAAACCTTTTGACTTCCAAATACTAATGAATGAGAATTGGATTATGGTTAACTTATTTATATTAATGATCTTTTATATCCTAGGAAAACGTGTGATCCGTTCTGTCATGACTGAGAAAAAGCTAATTGAAGTCAAGAAAGCGTTGAATAAAGATGCTATGGTAATTAACTGTAATCTTTGTTCTTATTGTACAATGCGTGTGTTTGTATCCTCCTGAAGTACCGGCTATTAATTTTTTAAAAATGTAACAGGATGTGGACACCAATGAACCACAAAGCAAGTCAAGTCATTTAGCTAGCCAAGCTCTGGGTACGGAATCAAAAGCATTAAAAAAATCTTAAATGTTTTGTGTGCGTGCGTGTGTGTGTGTATGTATATGTTAACACTAATAGTTAGAGACTGCTCTTTCGATTATCAGGAAGCAACCACAGGGATTTTTCCACATGCGGTCTCCTCCACTCCATTGGCTCAGATCTCACTCGGATGAAAGTGAGATCTGATTTCGACCAGATCTCCAAAGAAAAGGAGCCTGGAAACACTACTCCGACAAGCAGGGCGCAGGCAAGTGCTGTCATGACTCATGAGCTTCTCTACCCGTATTCTCTTTCTTTGTTGATCATCTATGTTAATTGTATAATGCATCGTTTATGGACACTGACAGTTTCTTTGTTCTGGAATTTAGCAGCATCCAGTAGTCTCCCGAGAGAGTTTTGCGGCCGCAAATGGGAACACAAAGGGCTGTGAAGAGGTGGACGGGATTCTGTGTACTAGGTCGAGCCAAGCTGACAAGCGAACCAGAAAAACAAGCACGGTATGCTTTTGACCATCTTCTCTCATTGGAATTGCCTAAAATAACTTGGCAGTTTGTATGAAGCGCACAAAACTGTAAAAAGGCCGTGTTTATAAAAAATGATACAATGGGGCTTTTGGGACTTTAATATCTTTTTATTGCAGGTCAAGGAGCCTATCCTTCAGTACTTGAAGCGCCAGAAATCGCAAGCCCCCTCAGATGTCTCGGGACCATCATGACACGTGAACACTTTTTCTTCCATTCCTTTCCATTCTTCCTTTTCCACTTAATAATATTGTGGAATTCAAAGGAGAAATTTTATAATGTAGCTTATAAAAGCTGTAGCGATTTCACGTTCTGGGGATGATTCGTGTTATGTACTTGCGCCATACGAGGCTCCATGTTAAATACATAGGAATATATTACATCTATCTTGTGAACAACTGAATGAAGAGTACTAGGTAGGACTATGTTAGTAGCTGGAGTACGTACTGCCCTTTTCGGGTTATAAGAATGTCCTTGTTTATATTTTGGGGTGATTCCCTGCTTGCGCATAAAATCGTTGAAAGTATATTTCTAGTTTCAAAGAATTTTATGTCGACTCTGCAATAAATATGATGTACGAAAATTTTCATCGAAAAACGACATGAAATCGTGTCTGAAGACTTCGCTGGAGAACTTTTTACGAATTAATGTTTCAAACAGTACCAAGCTTATTAACTAGCTCGGAGTAGATGGTTGTTTTGTCGTTGATAAAAACCGAATGAATTTGGCAGGACTTATAGATAGGATTGGCAAATTCTCAGCAATAACGAATTATGCATTGGCATGGCATGATCGATGATGATGATGGCCAATGGTAATATTTGAGGTTTGTGCTTGCTGGATTTTTCTCGCCGTAATTGAGTCATAATAACAGTTCTTTAAATGGTTTCTCTCACACAAACATTTTTCTTTTTCCTTTTGATCATCACACTGAAGCAAATTGCCCGAGTAACATAATTCTAACAATGTCGACCTACGAACTATGATAATGATATATCCGTTTTTCAAGTCTTAAAAGTTAGCCGAATGTTATTACAAATAATCGCTAAAATTAAACAGGTTTGAGAGGACTACGTTGCTTAATTAAGAATTAGTGGGATGTTATTTTAAGTTTAAGAACCTTATTGTTTGAGTAAAAATGTAAGTATGGAATTTGGAATAAGCTATAAATTATGCCAGTCAGGGCAATATGAAAAGCTTAAGGAAGTATATAGTCTAACTTTTAGTTATAGAAATTAATAGGTCATAACTTGTCAAGTTATAGTTCATTACCAGATAAGTTATGGATAAACTTGTTAAGTTATGGTTCATAGCCAGACAAGTTATGGACGAAAACAGTAATTTAGCCTGTTTATTAACATATGTAAACTATTGACCTATTAATTTTAATTCATCTCAAATCTTAATCTATTTTCCTCTTTCTTTCAAAAAAAAAAAAAAAAAAAAGGAGAGAACTGGAAGGCCAAATGAGGTACGGAAAAGCACTCTTATTTGGCCATCCTCCTAGGTCCCAGACAGGAAAAGGATCTATAAATTGTAAGATTTTTGACGAACAACCGCAGTACAAGGTTCGACTTTGGTCTTCGCGTCACTGACTGCCACGTGTCCTTCGGGGTGACGTTTACCGGCACCTAGAGAACTCCGCCAAGTAGGTCCCACTGGCCCACATCCATGAACCCATGCAAAAGGAAGAGTACGCTGGCTAACGAGGCCCGGGTTTGAGATTGCTTTAATTTTTAAATTTACTTTTATAATTTTTTTTTGTCAATCATTTTCGGAAAAAACAATCTCTTGCTTGCTGTGTAATAGAACTGCATTTATTTATTTATTTGCCCTTTATAATTGAATTGCATTCAAGTTGTTAGCCAAAAGTCCATTCATTTTACTTTTAGAATTATTTTCTCAAATAAGTTATTGTCCATAATTCGGCAACAAACCAAAAACAGTTCTAGAATCAATTACAAACTTTCTTAAAGAGAAAAAAAAAAAAAATTAAACCTTGGGGCCATTATGAAATTCAACATCATATCCACCGTAGATCACAAAAATGCCACTGCATCAACTTTTCGTATAAATGAAACCCTGCATCTGCAACTCCTTGATATTTCATTTCAGGTTGGAACGTTTCAAAGAAAGCTGAATTATAAACAAACGCAGATAGTGATCAGTAATTAATCCATAGTCGACCAACACAATGACCGACCTCAAGGTATGTGATCACTATTCTCTCCGCCAGTTTTTCATATTTTTTTTTCCTTTTCTTAGCTTGTGCCTTAGGAGACAGACACAAGTAGTGCCAACGTTAATTAAGGTAAGTCATTCCCTCTCCATATGTTTTGCCATAAACTTTTTTCTTTGCCTGTCTTCTTCTTGTTTATCGGTTTGGATATTAGTACCTTAAGCAGTTCTCTCTTTTATTATTTATTTATTTTTAAAATTAACCTACATGCATATAAATATATATTGAATATGGCAATTTTCTTGAAACAATTCAAGAATAATAATTATAATTTTATTATGTCGTAATTATCATAATGTTTTTTCACGTTTTATGCACTACGTAATCAACTACTAATCAATATTATGATGATTTTAATTTTGGCTATTTGTAAAATATTCTAAATTTTCAAAATATTTCAACATGAGACCAATAAGATTAGGAAAATAGTAGAAAACAGGCCAATATGAAAAGCTTAAGAAAGTAAATAGGCAAATTTTTAGTTATAAAAATTAATAGGCCATAACTTGTCAAGTTATGGTTCATAACCAGATAAGTTATGGACAAACTTCTCAAGTTATGGTTCATAGTTAGACAAGTTATGAACAATTATGGACAATAACTTGTCAAGTTATAGTTTATAACCAGACAAGTTATGGACGAAAACAGTAATTTGACATATTTATTAACTTATGTAAACTATTGACCTATTAATCTTAATTCATCTCAAGTCTTGACATATTTTTATCTTTCTCCCGTAAGATTATGCTATATGTCCAACTGATCGTGCGTTATGAATCGTTTATTTATTTAGCTTCGACTGGGGTTGGGAGAGAGTGGCAGTAGTACTGCAAAACTCAAGCACCTGAATTTTGTGAGGGCCATGGTGATTCAGATGCTGACGTTCTGGTGGAATGTATACAACTCCACCAAGCTCAAGTCTGGTCCTTTGCAACCAATTTGGGGCGCGATCGAGATTATCATCACCACAATCTTTGGTCCAATCTATCACTTGGTTATGGAAATTCCCGACGATATCCTTGTTTTTCTGGACATGAAGGTATTAATCGGAAATTTTCATTGACTTTGGTTCTTTATTTCTTGATTTTATTGTTTTATTTTTTATTTTTCAAGTTAATGTAACGTTCTTTCTCTATCAATTCATGTCATGTACTTCTTCTCTCTCTCTCTCTCTCTTCCGTATATTGCTTTCTTGAAAGTTTGATTGAAAAATGTCCCCCAAGTACTCTAAAAGCCTCATGTTTTTCCTTTTTTTTTTTGTCAAAAAAGTTAAATGAAATAAAAGTAATTTTAACACCACTTTAAGTTAAAATATATTTCAAACAACCTAACAGATTCATTAAGTGAACGTTTAGTTCATAAGTTCATAGATTCAGAATTATGATTCAGAATTATTCTTGTTTTACGTGTATTTTTTGTGAAAGAAAAATATTATAGAAAACTATGAATCATGATTCAGAATCAAAGACGAATATAAGAAACAAACATCCCATAAGTGTTGAATATATGTTTGAAATCTTCTGGAAGATTAGGATTATGATTGAAAGGGAATTCTTTAGCCTATAAATAACTAACACATCAAGAAGCTACTTGTCTGTAGTTGAAAATAAAATTTGAAAGCAAGAAGAGGGGGTTTTTTTTTATGAGGCTAGTTGAGAATTAAAGAAATAGAAATATTGTTAGAGGAAAAGAAGAGGAATCAAATAAAGTCTACACACTTAGAATAAAAAAAAAAAATTAAAGTAGTAATCTAAAAATTAAGTGGTGTATAATCAAGAGAAAACAGATTAAATGAGGATAAATTGACAAAATTATAAAACATGAAGCATAAATTTAAAATTTAAAAAAAAAATGAGTAGGCGTACATGCCGTCACTCTTCAATGTGTAGAGTAGACAGTAGATCTGTCGCTGATGCTGGTTAATCGTCATCTTAGAATACATGATTGTACTATCATCTATAAAAGTAATTGTCCTTGATTTCTTCACTTACAAGCAAAAAGAAAGGGGCCTTTTTGATGTGGGCCCTTTTTGGTTTTGTTTTCATAATCGATTTTCATATTTCTCGAGGTAGCTGTTTTGAAACGAAAATAGCGTTTATTTGCTATGTAACTCCTATATGTTGGAAACAGTCTCATTTTTTAATAATGAAGAAAAAGATTACACCAAAGAGTCGTTTTCATTTCATTTTTCCTCTCTCATTTTCTAGGGCTTATCGACATTGTTATAATTAATAATTATTTATTTAAAAAATTAAGAAGTAAAAACTATTGATTAGTAATTAAATAGATAATTTAGTAACTAATTAACCATTATTTGTTATTAGTTAAACATATAAAGTTTTTACATATGCTTATTAATTACTTATATAGTAATTATCTTTTACTAATTATTATTAGTGGCTAATTATAATCTTAAATATATATCAATTATACTAATTAATAATTAGTATATTGATGATATATTAATTATTTATTAATGATTAATGATTATTTAAAATTATAATGGAAGATTAATAAGGATTTTATGTACTTAAAACATATTTTCAAAGACATAACCAAACACAGTTTCATTTTTCCTTTACTCAAAATAATATTTCAAAAAAACAACCAATATTTACCGTGTATATAATCAGCGGCAATCTATCTTTGCTCTGAAATTGGCATTTTCTGTCTTATCTAGAAAGAATTACATATTTTAAAGTTGGTAATTGAGTAGCCTTTTATAGGACATGGTTAGCGCACTAAGAATTTGTTTTGAATGAGGGAAATGTAATAGGAGGGAGAGGGGTGAGAGAATTAGTGAAAGCATTTTGATATCTATAGTGTTTGGTAGGAGAGAGAAGTAGAGGGAATGAATTGAGCAGGGAATTTCAAATCTTTTAAAGTCCCACAACTTTAATATCTTCAGACTTCAAATATGGAGTGATTAAAGGAGAGAATTCATACCAAACACAGTAAGAGAAAGTCTCTCTCATTTCTTCGTGTTTTTCTCAATTATATGCTTTTCTTTCCTTTTTATTTTCGTTCCCTCTTACCAAACAAAATGTAAATGATTGTGCTGCTTAGTTAGTTGGTTGTGATTACTTGCTAAATGGGAGCTCTTGGCCACTTTAGAATTTTATATCCTCTCCTCACATGTGCTTCAACTGAAAGAGGTTTTACTCTCAAGGATGAACAATCAACTATCACATTAGCAAGGTCCAGCATACATAACTAAACAACTCGTTTGATTATCGCAGTTGGAGGGTCACATTTACATGTTTCACAAGTATGCACCGGAATTTCTACAGAATATTGTCGGCAAAATCCATGATCTCAATGTGAAGGCCTTAGAGGTGCTACAGAAATTTATCGGCAATATTCACACACTGGGGCTACACGGCGCATTTATCAGCGCCTTATCGGATATAAAGAAGTTCTTCATCGGCGAGGTATGGGCTTTCTTGCAGTGGCTACGCAAGCAACCGATCATCCATTCGCTCGAAGTACATCTGTGGCCCTATCTTTTGCCCTTGCTTGTGGACTTTGGTGAGAGCTACAATAGTTTTGTCAAGTTTATGAGTAGCAAGGGCTTTCCAATTTTCAGACACTTGCCATTAGTTCCTGTGGAATTGTTAAAGGTTGCGTTGGAGTTACAAAGAGCAGCCCATGCACTAAACCCGTTTGATAAGGATAAAAATCTCCCTGCTCCTTCACTGCCTGTTCCTTCACTGCCTGCTCCTACACTGCCCGTTCCTTCACTGCCTGCTCCTACACTGCCTGTTCCTTCACTGCCTTCTCCTTCACTGCCAGTTCCTTCACTGCCCTCTCCTTCGCTGCCTTCATTCAATCTTCCAACACTGCCTATTCCACAGCTGCCTAACCCGCTCGATCAACAGAAGCAAAAAGAAGGTCTTCCTCCACTGCCTGTTCCAAACCTGCCTAATCCGCTCGATCACCAGAAGAAGAAAGAAAGTTCTCTCCTGAACCCGCTTGAGGCACTCAAGGAAAAAGATAACCCTGCGTTTATTTAAGGATGTTGAAGGAGTGGAGTGTTCCTCAAAACTGGTTTGCCACTCTTGCAGAGCCTACTACGAAAGCAATCTAATCGTATTTTATATTTTTGTTTTGTTTTTCTTTTCTTGTGTGTAAGTTGAATATCTGGACGGCTAGTGACTATGTAAATGATTTCTGTGCACTTAACTCTTTCGGGTATCTAAGTCGTGAATTGTTATGATCTTTCTTTTTTTTGCATTTTTTGGTTCCTGGGTACTCGCTGATATGCTAGTTTTCTAGAAGTCACGACTCCGTTTTATCTTTGGGTATACGGGGCTGGGTTTGGGAATTTTGTTTCGTATGGTTCGTTCTATTAGTCCTTACCCTTGTGAGCCCTAATACAAAGTGGAAGATTATGTGCTGCTCATAGGATACATACGAAGGTAAAAAAGAATATAGTAAATTGTAGTGGTACTATTATACACAAAATAAATAAATAAATAAATGCACTGCCAGTTTCTGATGTTTTTCTACATGTCGTACTTAGATTTAGACAAAAACAAAATAAAAAACAGTGGCCCTGTTTGTTTCTGTTTTTATTTTTATTTTTTTACGTTTTTCGAGGAGTAAAAATTGAAAATGGTTTGAAGATTGTGTTTGGAGCCCCATTTAATCAAAAACAAAACTGAAAACGTTTTTGGTCTTTCTCATAAAATTGCACAGTTTCTGAAAATGAAATTTACTCATTTTCGTTTTCCCATTTTCATTTTCTCCTCACTTTTTCCCGTACCACACCAATCTTGGCCTCTTCATCTTCATCGGCGTCTTCACCGACTCAACTCCGCAGACGGTGGTCGTTCACCGGAAGATATCTCCTCTCTCCTCCACTGACTTGTCCTCTTTCTCTCACTCTCACTTTCTCTATCCTCCCTCTCTCTCTTCTCTGACTCTTTCGATTATTATTTCCCCCCAGACTCTTACGGCGATTGAGAAAATGTCTTCAACAGCGAAGCTTCTTCCTTCACCACCTCCAGATTCAGCTCAATTCTCCAGTGCCGTGATTTTCTCTCTCCTTTTCCGGCTTGCCAAACGGTAATGTTTTTTTTTTTATTCTCTGTTTTGCTTTTGATTTCGTGGTTATTGATCGGAGTAGTTTGAGCTTTGAAGCATCGGATGAGATTGTGGTGAGTTTGACGTTTGAAGCTCGATTTCTGTTCGTGAAATGTGGAGATTGGAAATTGAAAGTGGCTGATCTCTTGCTTGTTTTTATTCTCTCTGGTTTTTTCTTTTTTGCTTTTTTGTTGCTCTGTTTTTTTTTCGATTGACGTGTATGTATATACTGTATTTGTATATATATATAATATATATATAATCCCCATTATTTTTCTATTTTATTAAATGTCTCAGTTAATCAGTAACTTTCTGGGTTTATTTCTAAATGTGCAGCTTTCCCTCTGGTACAAATCAAAATTGTGGACTCCTTCTGAATTCAACGGTCTCCAGAACCAACCCAGAAACCAATCCAGTATTTAAAAAAAAAAAGCCTCAAAATTTGCATATGTTAATGCTTTAGGATGGTAAATTTTCTGGTATATATATAGAAAAAACTCAAAATTTGCAATTCTATTTATATTTTAGGATGGTAATTTTTCTGATTTAAAGTAATGAAAACGTTTTTAAAAATTAAACCACCAAACACAATTTCAGTTTTTTTTAAATTGAAAACAATTTCAGAATAAAATTACCAAACGCATTTTCAGAAATGATTCCAAAATGAAAATAAAAACGTTTTTATTTTCATTTTCATACAAAAAATAAAAACATTTTAAAACCAATTCCAAACGCACCTAGTAATTTCTTACAAGCATTTTTCATGATCCAGTTTGAGGCATGGCTCAAAAAGTGCTTTTATTTGTGTCGATCACCTTTGCAAAAGCAATTCCTTACTTGCTTCTCAAACAATTGCAGAACTACACTGATTTTTGCGCAAATTACGTCAATTATGTACAGGTCACTTTTCAATTATCATACCTAACACTGATTATTATTTTTTCATTATTATTATTGTTGAGAAATATTCTTTCTTCTACAAGTTCGTATAAAAGTAGACAAAATTATTATTTTTTTCATTATTATTATTGTTGAGAAACATTCTTTCTTCTACAAGTTCGTATAAAAGTAGACAAAACTTTAGAATCAACATTGAAGTGGCCCTAGTCTGTTATGTTCTTTGGTACGATATGTTATAATCCTTGAGTAGAACTCATCTCCAAAAGCTAGTTTGTAGAGAGAGGGTGCCTAAGTGGTTATAAACCCACATACTAAGCCCATACTTTAGCAATGTGGGACTCAACCATGATCCTAACATACCACCACGCTTCCGACACCGACGTCCACGACGGCCCACTCTGGATGGCCCACTCTGGCTTTTCCAGGTTGCCCCTTCCACAACGTGGGCCTGAGAAGGAGCATGCTCTGATACCAATTGTTATAACCCTTGAATAAAACTCATCCCTAAAAGTTAACTTGTAAGGAGAGAGTGCCCAAGTGGTTATAAACCCACATGCTACGCGTATTATACTTTAGCAATGTGGAACTCAACCCAGATCCTAACATATGCACAATCTAGACAGCATTCCAAGGGTCATTTGAGGTTCTGAAAGTGGAAGAAATTGGATCTCTTTAAAGATTTAACAATGTTACATTAACATATGTAGCAGGCACATTTCAATCCATCCACGATTTCTCTGGCACAGTTGCTTGTCGCAATAACAAAAAATGGGCCGTCGACACATACCTAAAATCCCCTTGCATGCGACCTACTAGCAACAGCAAAAGATGCTGACTGCCCGTGCAATTTACCCAAAGAAGTACCCAAACCACTTTACCCCTATGATTAGTTCATGAAAATAAGGGATCGTGTCTACTTTAGCACTAGACATAAAAAGCACGACAATCCTAAGACATTATCCAAATATATCCTAGATTGTTACCCTCTTTTGAGATTTCATGACATCGTAAGAGTTATTCATGGATCCCCAATCGTGCAACAATGATAATACCATCAAATTGTGAATCTAGAACTAATGAACCGGAAAGATAAACAAAAAAAATTATAAAAGGAGGGAATGTCACTCAAACTTATAACTTGACAAAGTTACATTTGAAAAAATATTCCATGTTAACAGATTTGCGATGCTTTATTGAAACATAGGATAGTCTTTTAAGTCCGAGCTGACAGTGCAGCAGCACACGTGACAATAAATCTCAAGACAATAGCAGAACAAGCGTCGACTCGCCTTCTTCTTCAAAGAGACCTCTAACTCATCCCGCAGATAATTATCTACATGCTGAAACACAAAAGCAAAAAGGGAAAAGAAAAGGCAAACTTTTAGCTTTGAATATCCCTCAAATTAGATCACTATATTTGCTTAGTGAGAATACAAAAGCAAGGGGAAAAGAAAAGGCAAACTTTTAGCCTCAATATCCCTCAAGATTTCAGATTTTATGTTCTGAAATCACTTTTCAGCGAAAAAACAAAACAAAAGGCTTTGAAATTACTTTGCGGGTTTATGGCTCAGTTTCAAGACTGGTACTCTCTGAAAAATTCCCCATAGCACTATTCATTTGTTGAGTATATTTTCCCTAATTTACTCAAAAATGATGGTCCAAATGTCCTGCAGAATATTAGAGTCCATATCTTCCAAAAGAGTAGAGAATAATCCTCAAGAATACTCTTCATCTTAAGATTTTCCATCTCTAATCGCACCAAGTTCTTTCTTTTTCCCAATCTCAAAACGATGATCCAAACTCCTAGAATCCATCCAGGAATCCCAAAACATCCTTAAGCCACAAACAGCATAAGCTAGAAATTCGATTCTAGCTCAATTGAACTAGAATAGAATTCATAACCACAACCAGGATAACCAACGATCGAATTCATTATGCAATTACAAAACTAAATAGCTCAATTGAACTCAAGACCTTAATTATTGTCGATCCCACAACCACATTTAAACCTAATTTCACTCCAATCACGACTGCTAATCGATAATAAGTAATGACAACGAACTCTTCAAACAAAGCAATGGTCCTAAACTCCGATTCTCAATGAGATAGTTCAAACGAAAGGAAAAATTTCAACAATGAAAGCATTCGAGAGAGAGAGAGAGAGAGAAGACCTCATTTGGAGGAGGCTTTGTAGGTCTGTTGAAGGAGGTCGTCGTAAGGGTCCCTCCGGCCGGGAACCTGGCTGATCTGAGCATCCCAACGGAGCTGGGCGTTGTGGCGCTCAAAGGTCCAGAATCCGTACGGACGCAGAGGATAGCTCCACATCTCCTTCGTCTTGATGCACTGGTCTTTCACCGCGTAAACGTGTTCTCTGAACTTCCGATCTCTCTCCTCCGGATCCTCCATCAACCTAAGAATCAAATTCTCTGCGAATTCCATTATGAAACCCATTCTTTTCTTCCTCTTAACAACCTGAGTCCACAACAAACAGATTACAATAGATCATTGTAAGCCTCCATTTTTATGCTTTTGTGAGTACAATTTTAACAAGAAGGGGAAAAAAAAAAACGTTTTCTTGGCAGCCAAACAGATTGGAAAGCTAAGACTACGATAGCGAAAACCCTAGAAAAAGAAAAGAAATTTATGCGCGAAAAATACACAGATTGATATATCGATTTTGATTTGAATAATTTACCTTTGCAGAGATTAAAGCTTCTCCCTTTCGTAGATGCTTAGAATTGTTTGACAGTTCAATTGGGGATTTAGAGTAAAGCAGCGACCCAAAAAAAAAAAATCCTTTTTCTCTTCGTGCGAGGGGAAAAAAAAAAAAAACCAGAAGAAGTCCTGGACTTTTCCTCCGCCCTAAAATAATTGGGCCTTATTTTTCAATTTGGGCATTACTTTTCTGGATCTCACCATAGTGGGCCTAGCCTTCGATGGACACTCTCTTCAGCCCTTGACCGGATCCAAAAAGGAAAGTCACGTAGGGTATCGGTTATTTATCTGTTTTTGAATTATTATTGCTTCATTAGCAAAAAAGAAAAAAGAGAATCATCATTGCTTTATCTATTACAGACTGATTATATATAAGACTTATGTTGTAAGTTTTTTTAGTTAATCCAAAAGTTTTACATTTTTTTATAAAAAAATAATAATTATCAACTTATATTAATAAAGAACGGTGTATCTAGATAATTCTATCAGACAATATATTTATGTATAACACATTAATCTCTTATCCATTGTTCAATTACTACTCAACCCCAAAGATAGGGGAGAACTAGGGGTGTAAGAAATCTGACCCTACCCGATATAATTTGGCCTACCTTATCTGATCCTACCGTTTTTTTTTTTTTTTTTTTTTCCTTTTCCCACTTTCAAATAAGACTAGCCCGAATTTGCGGGTAGGGGCGCGGGCCAGTCTCTTTTCAACCCACAGTAGGTCGACCCGGCCGAAAGTAAATTCCTCTGCCGTTTCTCTTCTTCTCTCTGAGTGTTTCCTCCATCGCCGCTTCTTCTTCTTTTCAATTCTTTCGCTCCGCCGTTCCTCTTCTTCTTCTTTATCTCACTTCCTCCGCCGTAGCCTGAAATTTTGAGCGCCCGCCCAATCGCATCGATATTGTGTTTGGAAATGGGAAAAGTGCGTTCATTAAACCCATCTATATTTGAATATATATCGTTCCATGCCCTCTATAATCAACAAACGAGCGAAGTTGGCTGAAGGGTTGAATTATTCTACTAATATTAATAATAATAAAAGCAAGTTCTCTCTCTGTTTTTTTTTGTTCCGTTCACTTCGCTGATTCGAGTTTAAAATTCGAGTTTTTCTACAGTAAAAAGCTCTCACAAACAATCACATCTAACTTTTTTGCTACAGTAAAAAGCTCTCACATAAAATCACATCTCAACTCGAATTCTAAACTCGAAGTAAACGAGGCCTTTATTTATTTATTTATTTCATTCAAAGAAGAATACAAAATAATACGGGATAAGTATTTTGAGTTGGTGCAGAACCAAAACTACCAGATTTGTGACTTGCCAGTCTAGAGATGGACAATTGAGAGAGTAGTATCCATCAGTACCTATCAGCAACTAGTAAATCATTTTCTCAAGAGACAAAACTCAAAATCATTAATATATTATTAGTCCTCTCTCTCTCTCTCTCTCTGAGAATACTCGACGCTTATTTAGTAAGCCTTTTTTTTGTTGTTGTTGTTAATATGTTCAATTAAATTTACATTCATATAATACCATGCTTAATTAGCACGTGCCAGATTAATGCCTTTGCTCATACCTAACCTAATCTTGTCTGTTTTCGAGAATAAACCCTGTCTATAACTATTAGATACCCATCGAATAAGCAAATAAATTGCATTCACTATCTGTACCACATTTTTTTTTTCTTTTTTTGGGCTGCATTATTCTACAGGTTCATTTCCCTTACTCTCTATCTCTTTCTATTCTGTAAGGTGCAGCACTTATTGCACTAATGGTTAGAGTGAATTTTGTTTTCAATCACAGTTGGGTTTCCAGCCATTGCCTTCAGTTCTGGACCACCCCATCAGAATCAAATTTTCAATAACTTGACTAGCAATACTGAAAACTGTTTTTTTTTTTTTGCCTAAAATAATTCAAAAGAATCAAAAATAAATAAGGAGATTTATATGGTAGCATCTAGAAAAATAAATTATTTTTCAACCTTCACATGTGTATCATAAACTGTCTAGTTTGCATACTAATTTTAAATCATATTTAGAAGACGTTTAGTTGATGGATTTAAAATTATGATTCAGAATTATTTTCGATTTACGTGTATTTTTTATAATGTTGTAACGAAACACGAATTATAATTCAAACCATGTCACGAATTATTAAAACGAACGAACTTTTAAAGATTAAAAACATACACTAACAATAAAAGTACCTACTATAGAATGACCCACTAAATACATAAGAAAGAGAGAGAGAGAGAGAGAGAGAGAGGAATAACAATGATAGAAGATAGAATAAGTGCACTCCCACATTGAGATGCTTGCTTTCTAGGCTGTGCAATATTTTTCGAGTTTATTTTTCTTCCCACTCATTTGGTTTTTGTTTCCCACAAAGCTTTTTTTCTCGAGAAACCATATCCACCAATCTGCAACTTGTTTGTCCCTCATTCCCACTACTCCATTTCCCCCTTTCCCTTTCATCCTCCTTTCCCTTTACTCGTTGGTCAATCACTTAAATGTGTCTGACTCTTTTTTGACCACACAAAAGCCAGAAACAAAGTTAAGTGAAGGATGGCAGAATAATGCAGAAAATTTTCAGTACCGTTGGACAGCCCCAAGGTTGGCCGCCGCACTTCCTCTGTGAGTTTGACCTTAACAGGAAAAAAAAAAAAAAAAAAAACTATAGACTGTAAATTGAATTTCAAATTTTGAGTGTCGCTTTGTGTATGTAACATTTAAGACAAGAAAAAATGCCTGTATTGTCTGTTTCTTTACCCCAAAGCTAAGCCTTTTGGAGAAAACCATAAATGAGAGTATGGTAGCTCGGTTATACATCAAAATCAGAAAATTTTGAAGATGCTTCTTGTCTGATCAAATTACTCGTGGATCACACAAGTCCACAAAACTAGGAGTTTGTAATTCGATCAAGTCGGCATTGGCCATACACGTGATTTGAATACCATTACCAAAATCAAAATACCAAAATGGAGAGAATCTGAAAAATAATAATAGGAAAGAGAATTTGACTTTTAAAATTTCTTTTAAGCGAAATTAAGGCTGACAGTTGCTCTATAGTACAAAATGGACAAAAAGTAAGAGAGGAAAAAAAAAAAAAAAAAAAAAAAAAAAAACCCCTGCCATTGTTTAACCGAAAACCCCCTCTATACACCAACGGGGAACAAAACTCCGTTTAATCGAACGGCCATGATTAACTTAATCTATGCCCCCACCAAAAATGGCCAAATTCGTTTCCCAACCAGTGGCACTGTATCTCTCACTTCCTTTTTCATTTTTTCTTTTTCCTTTTTTTTTTTTAAATCCTCAACTCGTATTGACCAATTACTGTTTTCCGTAACAGTCACACAGTTACCTATTGCCTCAAAAAAAGAAAAAAAAAAAAAAAAAAGGAAAAAACCTCTAACTATCCGCGATGACGCCATCACCACCAACGCCTCCGTTACCGTTTGCATCACCGTCACCGTCACCGTCAACGCCACCGTCACCGTCGTCATGGAGCCACCGGTCCACGTGGACGCACTCCGCCTTGTGGCGTAGCTTCCAGTCAAGTGCCTGACATGCGCGTGAGCAGTAGTTAACGCGGCCGCAGACGGAACACCGACGGAACTCGTGCCTCCTCGTCTCCGGCCTTCCGCACCCCACGTGCGAGCAGAGCCTCAGCCCGTGCCCAGGCGCACCACTACGCGAGGCGAACCACTCTGCCAGGAACCGGCTTGCCGGATGAGCCTCCGGCGCGGGAACGTTGCAGCCAAAGTCGCTCAGCAGCGGGCAGCCCGAGCCGGTAAGGTACCGAAGCTGGGGGTGCGGGTGCGGATGCGGATGCGGATGGGGGAGTGGATTCCACGTCAGCCACTGGCGCGTGGAGATCTCATTAACCGACGACGCTGCGGAGAGAACCGACGCGAGCTCCCGCGCGTTGGCCTGGACGAGGAACCGCCGTCCCTCGGCGATGTTTTGGCGGACACCGTAGCCGTCTTGGAGGCAGTGCCCGAGCTCGCGAAGCGCGTCGATGTGGCCGAGAAACGCTGCTCGTGCGCAGAGGGCCACACCGGCGCGGAGGTCCTTGTCGTTTTTGGAGCCGCCGCTGCCGTTGAACTGAATGACAGCGAGGGAGTAGAGCGCCGGCGCGTGGGAGCTAATCGCCGCCTTGGCCATCATCGAGGCTCCGCTGCCTCGGTTTTGTAAACAGTAGAAGCGAATCTGAGGAACAAAAAAATGATTAATTGACAATAGTCATTAAATTCATTCCGTGGAATGTCTGGATTTTTGTTGATCATAAAAATTTCTCTGACTAAATTTACTTACCATGCCGAGAGTATAGCAAGCCTCAACGTTTCCGGCATCGGCGCACTGTTTCAGGAATCGGTGAACCGACTCGGACCAGTTCTTGGCTTTAATGGCGAACGTTTTCTGAGAAGCTTTGGATAATACCATGGAATGAAGGCCTAATCCGTTTAATCTTTTGCATCTGTTTCATGCAAAAACCCAACCAGTAACGTCAGATTCAAGGAATTGCGAAACTGAAATATCATATTAGGTGAAACCGTAAAGATTAAAAAAAAAAACAGATATCTTTTCGTTTCTTCACTAAAAAATAAAAAAATAAAAAAAAAATGCTCCGGCAAAAATCTTGAGTAGTAGTTAAATAAAAGTTCCAATCAATGGCGTAAAATTTCCAATCTTGAGCAGCGTTTATTACAGAATTCCTCGAAATTCTTCGCCGGAAAACGAAAAAATTCGAAGACAAAGAACAGGAAAGGAGGAGGATGACAGAAGCAAGCACGTACGTTATCAAGACGTTGATGAAATCGGAAGGACAACGAGCGGTGGAGCTAAGTTTGGTGAGAATAGAAATAACAAGATCGTCCGGCAAGGAGTCGAACAAATCAGTTCCGCCAGCGGCGGAAAACTCCGGCGAGGCTTTTATCCGTTTACGGGTAATAGTCCGTTCACCAACGGCGAAATCTTTCCTCTTGTTGAAGACCTTCGTCTCCGAGCACATAGTATTGCCTCCCACGACAACTCTCGGGTAACAAAGGCCTCTCCTTGTTCTCATGATATTATACTTCTGGTTCGTCTTCTTCTTCTTCTGTCTTCGTCTCCGATATCGTGTCTTTCCTTTCTTCTTCTCTCTTCACTCTCTCTCTCTCTCTCGCTGTGAAAGATACAGAGAGGAGAAAATAAATGACGAGTGAAGCCTTATATATACGAGAGGTTAAACCAGACGAAGCCCGTCCGCAACAACAACAACGACAGAGCCGAACGCTTATAACCAAATAAAAAAAGAAACATTGTTGCCAAAACTATAATAATTAATTAATTACTCAAAAAATTTAATATTAATTAGTAAAGACTTACTTTTTCTTTATTTGCGATTTCACCCCTCGAGTTATTTTATTTTCAGTCAAACATCGTTGACCCAGATCCGTCCGTTCGTCGTCTGTTTTTTTTTTTGGCTTTTTTCTTTTTCCATTTTTTGTTTGGAGTGCTGCTGAAAGAAAAAAATAAATAAATAAAATTAAAACTAAAATTATTCTCCCTTGTCTGCACGCTTTTGAACACGAACACTCTCTCTCTCTCTCTCTCTAACTCGCTTTTTAGAGAGAGAAGGGTAACTTCCATCGCTTTTGAATTATGTTTGTTGGTAAACAGGTGGGGGATGCTTTTTCTCTTTTTTTTTTTTTTTTTTTTTTTTTTTGTGGAACTATTTCGCGGTTGTTTTTGGAAGCGGCTTAAATTTGTTGAGAGTAAAAACAAACAACTAACTTCGGTTATTTTTCGGTTTTTACTGAAAAGAATTCACACCCTTTTCTCCAAGGGAGGGGTGAAACAGCATACCGCTATCGCTTCGGGCGCGTAAAAACAGGAAGCGAATAACGGGAAAACTGTAAAGAGAGCGTGGGTTTGGTGAGCGTTTGTATACGCGAGTGGCGAAAGCGTTTTTTGTTCTTTTTTTTTTTTTTTTGAGAATTTTATTTTATTTTTGTTTTTTTAAAAAACAAACTCTCAGGTTAGGCGATTTTTGGGCACTAGTAGTCTACAACCCGACCGTATGAAGGTCAAACGTATGAATCATCACTAAACAGCTGTTCAGTTACTCTTCTTTTGTTTCACTTGCCTGTATACCGTATACGGTTTACGCAAAAAGACAAATGGTGATGTTTTAATTAATTTTTGTTGAATTTACATTTTTCCTTTGATGCAAATTTTTTTTGGGGGGTTTTTACTTTTTATGGTCGTAATTGTCCTTTTTTTATTATGGGTAAGAATTGTTGGTGTAGATGTAGATTTTACAATTAAATTTGTTTAAGAGTCAATAATTATTCTTAAGAGTTGATCACGTTGACGAGTTGACTCAGATTCATTCGAGTTGATTTAGAACAAGAACATAAAGTGCGGAAAAATAAATTGACACATAAATTTATAATAGTTCTTCTGATAATGCGTGACACGTCCATTATAGGACTTGAGAGGTTTTACTATATCTTGTAAATAGTACAATTACAATGAAGAATGTGAATAGGATAATAAGGAGGAGGAAATTTAGAGAGAGAGTGTTGCCTATTATGAGAGTTCCAAAGTGTTTAATTTGTGATCTCTATCCTTTATTTATAGAAGAAAACCTTTTGGCCGTAGTTGGAATTGATCTCGTTTTTATTTTTCATGTTTTTTGAAAAAGAAAAAATGAAAACGTTTCTAAAACGGCGTTTTGGCGCAATAAAGACAAAAAGCATAAATGAAAACGATTTTTTAGTTTAGTGTAAAATGAGAGAGAAATGAAAAACGACTTATAATCATTTTTCATTTTTTGTTTTCGTTTTCTCCTCTCACGAGCAGAAAGAGACAGAGAGACATTAATAGATTTTTTACACTCAAAACAATCTCTTGATAAAACTACCAAACGTATTTTCAAAAATAATTTATGTATGAGATTGAAAATGTTTTCATTTTCATTTTCATATAAAAAATAAAATCATTTTTGAACAAATTCTAAACGCGCCTTTTATTTTCTTTTTCTCTTAGATTGGATAGTTTTCATTTTCCTTAGTTGACTTTCTCTTTTCTTGTTTCCTCTTCAATTCAGATATGATTTGACCTTTTACTGTAGGATTTGATTGAAATAATATTCGTGGCCTCTAAAGGATCTCTTTTCTCAAAATATTAGCTGCGGTCCCACACTCCTTCTGTCGTTAGTCTTCTCGAGTTGATACGGTCTCTAGTTGATTTCAATCGATTGGAGTTGATCTATTTCTTCAAATATTATCCACGTGTACGATGACGATCGTGGTGCTGATTTTAACCCTAACATTTGTTTTTATATTAAATAAATTGTTTAACAATCTCATACGACTAAAATAACAATATTTATTGATAGAAAAAATGACAATTTCTACAATAAAAATTTTTTCCTTTTTTTTCTCGTTGACTTTTTCACTTACAATGCGTTTTTTTTTTCTTTGTTTTTGTAAGAGCATTAATAATACTTCATGCTGTTCTTTCAAGCAAAATTAAAAATTTGGGGTTTTTTTTTTCATTGACAATGCGTTTTTTTTTTTTTTTTTGGGGTTGTAAGAGCATTAATAATACTTCATGCGGTTCTTTCAAGCAAAATTAAAATTTGGGGTTTTTTGGGCCTCTACTAAGCATATGTTTTTAATTGTGGATCTAGTCTAAGGAAAAAATCTGTATAACTTATAATTATTTTTTAATATAGATCTAATGAAAATCTACTAGTACTAATATTTTCTTTTTTCAAGCCTTACAGTGGAGATCTCCTTTTATAAATACAGTAAATCATTTCCATCAAAATTTTGGACAAATCTTGTTATCTAGTATTAATTGCAAGTAGGCTATCAAATACTGAAACACTACAAATCGTGCTATCTTGTATTAATTGCAAATATGATGTCAAAGACTAAACTGCTAAAGAAATTTAACGGCAGAAAAGCCAAGTGGGGCAGAATATATGGAGAATCATAGATTTTTATTTTTTTTAGGAAAATCATACACTATTTTTATAAGACTTATGGCATGTTTACTTACTCGTAATCGGAGTGGACAGGATTTATAGTGGACAAGAATCGAAATTAAAATAAGCTGTTTACTTAAGTTTCATGAATTGGAGTCGGAATCAGTTCCAATCTCATTTATGTGTTTACTTACACCCAAAATCAAAATAAACTGTTATAAATTTACTTACCTACCCTTTTAGTAAATTTTTGTGTGTTGAACTTAAAAAAAAAAAAGCAATTGTATATTATGCTAACTATCTTAATATTAGGATAACTAATTAGTAATTAGATTTTTTTAATCCACCTAATTAATCATCTAAATTATTTTTTCTCAATAAATTTTGAAATAACCTGTCCTGTCCTTTGGGCATGGTCTGGATCTCCACGAATCCTTGAAATGATGTTGTGCGATCAAGGGGCAAAACATGGTTTGATCATAGATTCAACAAATAAACACAACAAAAAAATATAATAATAAATAAACTTGCAATTCAATAAAAAAGAACCACAGTGATTTATGTTATTGACTCACCTTGAAAATAAGAGAGATGCTCTTGGTTGCTGTGGATGGAATGTTGTGTTTTGAGGAGAAAAAAATATTAGAGGAAGTGAGCAAGGAGATACGAGAGACGTGAAAGTAAATTACGACATTTTCAATTTTTTTATTGTTTACTTTTCTATTCACAAATTTGTTAGTAAAATTAAGAGTAAAATCATAATTCACATATACTATCAGGATTGGGAGTGCCAATCCGGGGGGGAGTGTCAATCTCAATCCCCAACCCTAAATTGGTGTGGGACCCACACATCCTCACTCTAATTATAAGATAAAAATGGATAAGTAAACATTGCGTTGATTCTAATTTTTAATTCTCATTCTCCACTCCTGATAAGTAAATATGCCATTATATTTTTGAGCCATTGAATCTATTTCATTATCTGTTAATTAATTTATATATTTTTTAATTTAATGTCATATTAATTAGTATTATGTTTACCATCAATAGATATTCCGCCAGTAAAAAAATATTAAATATATGTATACATAAACATATATAACCTTATGAGTAGTCATTTTTTATTTTAATTACGTGTAGGATTCGAATTCCAGACTTTAACATTAAAGGTATTTTGTTTTTTTCTCTGCACTTAACACTAAAATTTATCAAATTATAAATGAATGCGATGGTAAGGTGATGAGATTGAAGGTACAATAACTGAATAAGAATAGAGATGGTTGTTTCTTCTTAGTATTTGTTTATGTATTATATTGTGTGATAGGAAGTAATTCACTTGTGTTTATAGTGTTTAATAGATTTAGGCGTACAAATCTCATCAATATAATTGTTAAATTATCTTTTCATATTTAGTCAATGATGGGACGGGAAAAAATTAACTTTTTACATGTCTTTTTTTTTCATCTATTAGACATGCACAAGAAATTATTTGTTTTACACACTTTTAAATTTTGATATGATTTTCACTATATGTAACAGTATTACTGGTATACGATCATATAGTATAAGAATTCAATTAAATAATTATTAATTTATAACATGTGAACTTAATATATAAATAAGTTTAACATTCATTCTTTTTAACGATGAATTAATATACTAATGAAATGGAGGATTTGTGTCCTTTTGTTTTCTAATTTCTTTATATTGTACGAGGCCTTATAGATTGTTGTTATTAATTTTATGAATAAACATATGATTTGATAAAAAAAAGAGAATATTCATCTTATATTTCTATTTTTCTTTTTATTTAAAATAAACAATATGTGGAAATAAGAATTTGAATTTACCGTTAAGCTACTTCTACACGAGTAAAACGCATTTCAAAAAGCGAAATGTAACCTTTGCTATTCTGTAAAGTGTCCAATTTACAGTTTAAGAGACACTTTTTATCTACATTTGGTTTAAGATTAACAATGGTGTTGCACATTTTTTTTTAAGGAGATGTTAGACACATATTTTTTTAAGGGAAGTTTCATTAATACTAATTAAAGGATATGTTGGACTTGGACATATTTGATCTATACGAATAAAATACTGAATAATATCAATATACTTTTTTTTTTTTTTTTTTTTTGGAAAAAAATGTCAAGATACTTTTGTCTA